TACTTATAATATATAGTTTAATACAATAAAATAAAATAAAAAACTATAAATAAAGTAACCTGATTAAAAGTCGAGACTAGAATTTGATTCTATGTCCTTAAGACAGATTCGTCCCGCTATGGTACAAACGGATTCAGTGGCGTCTATCTCCCAGAATACAACGACTTGTCTTCCTTCGGTTGTAGTACTGCAAACCAAAGGAATAGGCGAACCGGCTTGGTGTAGTACTCTCTGACTCAAAGTCGGACTCGAACTCACTGACTAAGGCTCGAACCCACAGACAATTATAGAAGAAGAAAGAAGGAAGAAGATAATTCAGAAAGAGAAGAATGATTTTCTGAATTGGTATGATAGCAAATGACCCCAAAGGAAGGGTATTTATAGAAAGCGAAGTGCTTTTTCGGGTATGGGTGCAACCATGGGTCATGTTGGTTCAGTACAAGTTGCAACCCTTTAGAAATAAATGCAACTCTTTGGAAAACAGATGCAATCCTTTGGAAGAAAAAAATAAAATAAAATAAAATAAAAAATAACTAACTTTTAATTTAAATTCAAAAATCAACCACCCATTTAAATAAGCTCAGCCCAAAAATAAAGGCCCAATCCAAAATTCCATTTAGTAAAAAGAATAATCGGACCTTACAATTACGCCCAAGCCCAAGCCCAAGCCCAAATTAAGCTTATTTAAATTTCAATTGGTTTCAACATTTTTTCTATGTAGGACAAATAATTCTCACATTTTGCATACCCATTTAGGCTTACCAAAATACCACACTTTGGAGCTAATTTCTCATTTAACCGGAAAAGGATTTGAGAAAGTAAATATACCACGTTCATCTCCTTGCGGAGAGAAATACACTCGTCTAAAGATCCGCAAAAAATTTTTAGCGGAATTTATTCCAAATCTCATCCAAAGTTTATGTTTTTAATATCCCCGTTTCCAACAAATTATTCATATTTGGATTCTCTGTTGAAATCTGATTATTTCATATTGTATAATTGGAATGTGGAGCTAAACAATTCAGGAAAAGAAAGTTGAGATTTGTTGTTGGCAAAAACAATGGCATAATTTTTTATTTGAAGTTTGCTTAAGGAATGCTGAATTTGGGTCGTAAGATAGATTCGTTGAATTTGGAGGCTGCATGTTTCTCATCTAAATTCTCGTAGGTTAATATTTCTTATTTTTTAGTTGTTTTTTTAAAAGTAAAATGTTTTGAAATAAAACCTTGTTATTTTGAATTTGCTTTTTTAATATCACATCTTCACATGTTTGTCTCTTCATAGGCAAAAGATGCACTAAAACGGGTTAAAGTGGGTTAACCTGCTTATGACCCGTCCCTTTGACCTTTGACCCATTCATGACCCACCATTGGTGTGTTGATAATGAGTAATTAGTCCATTTATGACCCGCCCATTCAATACCTGCCCGAAAATCACCCAATTGTCATCCCTAAATGGAGTTAATGAAATATTTTCTGAAACTTTGTTATTCCTCTCTTTCCACAAATGATACTTTCCAAGTATTAAACTACTACTGCTTCCAATTTGTTCGGTTTGGTTTCAATTCCAGTTGCAAAATAAAGGAATCATGCTGTTCGATATCCATTGAACCGTAAATTTATAAATACTTAAAATTTAAATCTTTCACTTACAATATATATCACTAAAATTTTGTTTTTAACTTAGAAAATATATCACTAGAATTAAGTTTTTGGTACATTAGTGTTAATCTTGTGTGTCTGTATATATATACTCTTATTGATTAGGTAAATGAGTTCTGAACTTTGAATTGTCTGAGAAATGACATAAGCCGAAAATACTATACTATATAAGTCAATCAAGGGCTTACAAGTTATTTTGAGTTTTTTATTATAAAATAATAATAATAAAATGTCCTAAAACATTCTACCAGCATTTAAACATCCAAAAATATTAATTACAGAAAATGTTTTAATTCAAAACTTAAACGAAATTGAAATCTTATTTTCTTTTTTCTTTTCTTTTCTTTTTTCTTTTAATTCTTTTCTTGGAGAAAAGTACACGAAGAAAAATTTACTGGCCCAAAGTATTAAATATGAAACAACAATTTTATAGCTTATTGGATTAATATAGATAATAGACATGGCCCAAAATTGTGATTATTTGTTAAAGAGGTTGTAATTGAGTAATAATTTTAAATTGTCATTCTATTTAACCTGTGGAACACACATACAAAATTAATAATAGTAAAATAATTAAAAAATTATTAAGAATCAAATCGAACTAAACTGATATTTCACATTCGATTTTAAGTTTTAATGATTCTGATTTTAATTTTAATTTAATTTGAAACCATGTCAAATCGAACCCTGTGCACTAGAATTATAGTCTGGTGTACAGTGTTCTAAGTGTAAACAGCCGACATATTTTACTCTTTCTTTTTCTTTTTCTTTTTTTCTCCAAACATATTTTAATCCACTTTACTCCAACAGAGCTCATTGGACAGGGCCCACTGGATTTTCAATAAGTAAAGATGCAGTAATAAGAAACTGGGGGACCCACTGGAAATAGAAGACGAACACACAAACCATGGAATTTCTCCTCCTTCAGAAATTCAAAGCAAATAGTGGCTTTTCTGAGTGGAGGAGATTCTTGACAAGAAAGGGGAGGTCAACAAGGAGTAATTATTGAATACCGGAATACGGTACTCGGGGTTTTTCAATCCTTGGATGTGGTGAGGCATATTATTACATTTATAATTTAATGACTCTCACTATTTCGGGTACCGTATTATTGAGATATTCAATAATTTCTCGTCTACAAGTCCTCAAGGGCCATGGGATGGTAGGACCATGTGGGACCAGCCCCTAAGGACCCATCACCAGTGTCACCGAGGCTTTCCTCACTGATACAAGCCCCCTCATAAGATCAACCTCGGTGTGGTACATATATTTCTTTCATCACTCTTACAAAATGTTTGTTAAAGTATTTGTTAATTCACTCCAAACTTGGATCATTCGCTCAACACAATCCAACAAATTACCATATTATAAAAACAAGGGACGAGTGTATTAAAGTCAAGCAAAAGTCTAAACGCGTCAATATTGAGTATTAAAAAAATGTCTCTGATTTGAAAATTAGTCCGTGAAAGAACATTATATAGATTATCCAATTAACCAACGATATTAATTTGTTTCCACCTGACATGCATAAGTAATGCAAAAATATATTAAAACCAAATCAAAGATTTGAAGTCAAAGCATGGCATTGGATAAACAAATAATTGTGTCTATCTCCTAATTCTTGTGTCATTAATTTGTTTAAGCTCCAGAGAAAACTTCGTTAGAAACAACTTGGTCAAATGAATTACTGTTTGGCGTTAAAAAATTTTAAAAAAAATTAAAAAAAAAGTATTATTTGCAAATATATAGTAATATATAATGTGTGTGTGTGTTTGTGTATATAAGTTGAAACCGGGTTACCTGAAGCTCATTGCTTTCCTTTTCCATATTTTATTTTTATTTTTCCGGCATGCCAATCAACATCCATCGCAGATACATATTTTTCAAATTATCATTTTTTTGGGGATTAATTTATATATGTACACCTCATGCATGAATGCTTAGAATGGTTAATTCCTTAGTACTTTTCACTGGTAATCAATTCCGGCAATCCAAATTCACTTTTTGACGAGTCATGATCATTATATTAGAAGGAACAACAAAATCCTTGATTAAATTAATTAGTTTGAGCAAATTCAATTTCAATGTATATTCTTTTTAGCAGCATATATAAAATTCCGGAAAAGAACTTGCCTTCCTAAAAACTAAATACTTTTTACAAAGCTGATTTTCTCTGTGTCATGCCAAAACTTTAATTATATAAAATTTTATTTTATATTTTTTAATATGAAATCGGTTAATGTTGCAAAATATTATCCTTAGATAATTAAGAATATATTACAAGAGAAACTTGAGAGAGCTATCTATATGTGTGTGTGGGTGTGGGTGTGGGTGTGTGTATATATATATATATCTGTGGCGTCGGTGCAATCTGACTTTTCCTGTAATCACTTCTTGTGATTAGATGTAGCATTATATATATATAATCCACATGTTATTATGGCTGACATTAGGTCCAAATAAATCTTATATTATATGAAACTGATATTTTAAAACTTCAGATTGTTTAGTGGTTGAGAGTTGTAGGTAGTTGGTACTTAATTCAAAATCAATCCAGAAAAATGTTCCTTGTTAGAGAATTCATTGACCATATGGTCCATATCAACACAGGGAATGGGTAGATTAAAATTCTTTAGACAAATTCTCCCTCTGATCTTGCTTAATGACTTGAAAGTGTCCTACAATTTGGTGGTACAATTTAACATTTTCCTTCCTGGATCTCTATGTATTTGAAAGAGCACAAGCCATTGCAGTCTTGCAGAAAACCGCGTCCTTACAGTGGCCAACTAGAGTTTTTCCCACAATATTGAGCAATAATCCCTCGAAAATTAATGATATTATTGATCTTAAAAAATTGTATGAACCAGCCGATCCTTAGTTTACTTGGAATATCAGACAACATTTCTGAACATGACTTGGCTCAATGTGCATTAGTGCCATAAAAGATGTGATTCAGTTGAGTCACTTTTACTAAATTAGAAGGCAAAATGAGGTTGGCTTAATTAGAAGGCAAAACAAGGTTGGCTTTATTAGAAGACATGTTTCTGAACATGTCTTGGCTCAATGTGCTTTAGTGCCATACAAGATCTGATTCACTTAAGTCACTTAAAGTAAATTAGAAGGCAAAACAATATTGGCTTAATTACTATGGTAATTATTGAAATTGAGTTAGGAACTTAGGCCTGCAACTTTGCAAGACTTGATCAAACAAGTTCAATATTTTGTCTCTTTTCTTGCACATATCAACTTGCCCTTTTGAGTTCATAATATCAAGCTTCTTAGAAATTGTATTGTTGGCTAAGTCTAAGGCCTAAAGTCCTACAAATATGTTACCCGAGTCTATGATTTTTTTTTTCCCCCTATAAATACACTTACCACCTTATTTGAATGGACAACACAAAGTAACACAGAGCACTACTAGCTATATATCCAATTTAATCAAAACTCATTAGAAATGGCTTCACATAGCTTCTTCTATCTCCATGCCCTAGTCTTGTTTGCTCTTGCAAGCACAGCCTTCTCATCCCCACTCTCTCCTTGTTACTATAACAAAGTCTGCCCCAACGCTTTGCCAACCATCAAGCAAGTTGTGGAGGATGCAGTGCAGAAAGAGCGACGTATGGGCGCTTCTTTAATGCGTCTGCACTTCCATGATTGTTTTGTTAATGTATGCTTACTCAATTTTTTCCTCCTTAAAAATTTCTCTTTTACTTGTGATGAAATATTCGTCATGAACTATCATTAATTAGTTGAATATTTTGGTCTAATTAATAGATTTGATCATGGTAATGCAGGGCTGTGATGCTTCAATTCTTCTAGACCCGACATCCACCATTGATAGTGAAAAGAACTCGATTCATAATGCAAATTCTGCTAGGGGATTTGAAGTCATTGACAAGATCAAATCGGAGGTAGACAAAGTTTGTGGAGGTCCAGTGGTCTCTTGTGCTGACATTTTGGCAGTTGCAGCTCGTGACTCTGTGGTCTTGGTGCGTTTAATTATCAAAATAATATTTTCTTAGTATTGTACTAATTAACCCCACAAATCAATGCTCAAATCTAATTTATAAGCTTCAAGGCCTTAGACCACTACTAAATATATTAGTGCCCTTTGTTTCTGTTGTGATCATGTTCAAATATTAATGACGATGGGTAACAAATGATATAGAAGAACAGAGCTTGCACTACTTCTAGGACAGAGAAGTTTATTAATTACTTGAACATTTTGATTGTGATATTAAGTGCTAAAATATATATGTTATGTGATTCTTTATGTTAAAGAGATAAGTGCTTTTGTTTCTGCGGTGATCATGTTCAAATATTAATGATAATAATCTTAAAAGTATATATTGTTAACTAGTTGAACATTTTTGCTGCGATATTATGTGCTAAAACGTGTTACACACATTGTTGAATCTGTACCACAGCTAGGAGGACCAACATGGAAGGTGCAACTAGGGAGGAGAGACTCAACCACTGCAAACAGGACTGCAGCCGACAATGACATTCCAGCACCATCCATGGACCTTCCTGCACTTATCAACAACTTCAAGAAGCAAGGACTTGATGTCAAAGACCTAGTCGCGCTCTCCGGTGGTCACACCTTAGGGTTTGCTCAGTGCAGGGCCTTCAGGGACCGCATTTACAATGACACCAACATTGACACTGCATTTGCTGGCCAGCGTCGGTCCACATGTCCACGCAGCAGCCCATCCGGCGACTCCAACCTTGCTACTCTTGACCCCACAGCTGCGCTCTTTGACACCAAGTACTACTCCAACTTGGTGAAGAAGAAGGGGCTTCTACATTCTGATCAGGCACTGTTTAATGGTGGTGAAACTGATGGACTGGTGAAGAGCTATGTCACAAATGCTGGTGCTTTCTCGACAGACTTTACAAACTCTATGATCAAAATGGGTAACATAAAGCCATTAACTGGGAAGAAAGGTCAGATTAGGTTGAACTGTAAGATGGTGAACTAAAAATGGTTGGAGCTGCTGACACAGTCTATATATATTTTTATTCTTTTTTGTAACCAATAAAACTGGTTGATTTTTAAATTTTTTTTTTTTTTCAAGAAATTATTCAAGAAACATTGTGTTGTGAAATAAAGAGTCTTCCCTCCGTATCTTCCAATGGGAAGCAGATGGAAGAGATGGTTAATTTTACCTAAACATTTATGTGAGGAATTGTTCAAAGTGAAATGCAATAAATTTATATGAAAATATTGTATCAAATTGTCAGCCTTTTCCTAGTTGCTATATTTCTTAGAGATGGTTTACCTAAACATTTGTGTGAGGAATTTTTCAAAGTGAAATGCAATAAATTTATATGAAAATGTTGTATCAAATTGCAGCCTTTTCCTAGTTGCTATATTTCTTAGAGATGGTTTACCTAAACATTTGTGAGAGGAATTGTTCAAAGTGAGATGCAATAAATTTATATGAAATTGTATCAAATTGTCATCCTTTTCCTAGTTGGTATATTTATTTACGTATATATATATGCATTCATTAGCATATTTTGCGAAGTTTATTTAAGATGCCATTACTGAAACCAATCTTGTAACTAGTAGTCCTTTTGGTCAGAAAGAAAAATATTGAAAAGTGAGAGTAACAGAATGTACAAGGAATGAATAAGATGAAAAATTTACAAGAAGGTATTTTTTTTTTTTTTTAAAGTTCAATTTCATATATAAGTAAGTAAATATACGGCCCATAAAGGGAGAAAGAAAAAATGGATTAGGCCCAGCTAACCCACACAATACATCTGCTTCTCCACAAGGGGAAAAGCCCAGCCCAGAGTTTTGCTAAACATTCCGGTCAAGACTGTAGAAGCAGAGCTTCGTCTCAAACAATCAAATCAGAAGGCTTTGATGGTGGACGAGTAACAGAGGGAGGAAGCTCCCATTCATTGGCAAGTCGACTGTTTGGTGGAGAATCAATGAGAGAACATGTCAACAGCTTCAACCTGACTGGTTCAAGAGTTTTCTGCAGGACAGAATTAGCACTGAGGTATTTCTCCTTGAAAGATTCTTCTATTTCTTTCGGTCCAAATGTGGTAGACAATCGATGCAAGGCCAAGCTTTGAAGCTGATTTGCAGTGGTCATTTTTGTTTCCTTTCCAGTGGTGTGAGCACCATGCAACCAAGTCTTGTCAAGATGGAGGGAGAATGTGGAATCCGCAACGTGCTTGAAGAAATATCCGTAAGGGTTTAACAAATGAGCATTTGAAGAACAAGTGATCACTAGAGTACCTTTTTTTCTGTTATTTTTGGTTGGATGAATGACAAATAATTGAATAAGCTCTTCGTCTGTGCTGTAGATAAGGGTGCACAAAAAAGCATTGGAGCCGGTAGAAACGGAAATTTGTTCGGTTTGGTTTGCAAAATAAAGAATCATAATGTTCCATATCCATTGAACTGTAAATTTATGAATACTTAGAATTTCAATCTTTCACTTACAAAATATATTACTAGAATTTTGTTTTTCACTTAAAAAAATATATCACTAGAATTAAGTTTTTGGAACATTAGTGTTAATCTTGTGTGTCTGTATATATACTCTTATTAATTAGGTAATAGATAGGCAGATGATTTTGTCAGATTAATTTGACAGAATACACATGGCAGTCCAGGTAAGCAATTTTAACAATTAAAAAAAGGAAAGAAAATAGAAAGAGAAACAACATACGAGTCCGCAGATTCATCTTTCCCAGACTGTCAAGTTCTAGGCTAAATTCTTCTCTTCTGATAATTATCAAATATCTCCCTCTTCGTTTCATCACTTCAAATAATATTTCTTACCATCTTAACTTGAAGAGAGAAAGAACTTTTAATTACCAAAAAAAAAAATCTTTTTTGGAAGGTAAATATGTGTATTTATATGTTTGATTATATTGTTATTCACAGTCTATAAAAAAATTTCAAAGAGATATTAGAGAGAGAAATACAATGAAAAAAAGAAAGAAATGAGAGAGAAGAGGCCTAGCTGGACCGGCCACGTAATTTCTGCCAAAGTAATTAGTCAAATACTTCAATTGAAATATCATTTTCCTTAGGTAAATGAGTTCTAAACTTTGAATTGTCTGATAAACGACTTAAGCCGCAAATACTGTAATATTTAAGTCAATCAAGGGCTTACAAGTTATTTTGAGTTTTTTTTTTAATATAAAAATAATAATCATAATAATAAAAATTCCTTAAACAGTCTACCAGCATTTAAACATCCAAAAATATTAATTACAGAAAATGTTTTAATTCAAAACTAAAACGAAATCGAAATCTTTTTTTTTTTTTTTTTTTTTTTTTTTTGGAGAAACGTACACGAAGAAATAGGTACTGGCCCAACGTATTAAATCAAAATTTTATAGCTTATTGGATTAATATAGATAATAGACCTGGCCCAAAATTGTGATTATTTGTTAAAGGGGTTGTAATTGAGTAATAATTTTAAATTGTCATTCTATTTGATTTTAATTTAATAAAAATTATTAGAATTAGTTCGCTTTAATGTGAAACCGTGTCGAGCCTTGTCAACCAAGTTGGCAAGAATTCTAGTATGGTGTAAACGGCCGACATATTTTAATCACTTTAGTCCAACACAACGAGCCCATTGGACAGGGCCCACTGGATTTTTAATAAGGAAAAGATGCAGCAATATGAAACTGGGGGAGAACCCACTGAAAATAGAAGACGAACACAGAAACCATGGAAGAATATTTCTCCTCCTCCTTCAGAAATTCAAAGCAAATAGTGGGTTTTCTGAGCTTAGAACAACAACAGCTTGTCGCAGATCGCTGTAACTCAACACCCAGAAGCAACATCATCATCATCGTTCATCATGTGGAGGAGATTCTTGACAAAGAAGTGCATGTCAACAAGCAGGGCCGTTGGATGGTGGGACCATGTGGGACCAGCCCCTAAGGACCCCATCACCAGTGTCACCGAGGCTTTCCTCGCTGATACAAGCCCTCACAAGATCAACCTCGGTGTGGTACATACATTTCTTTCATCACTCCATTTGTTTACCACTTCTTTAATTGCTACAAAATGTTTGTCAAAGTATTCATCATATATGTACTTAAATATTTTTATGTGTTGATTGTTGGTTTTAGGGAGCTTATAGGGATGATGAAGGGAAACCAGTTGTTCTTCAATGCGTCCGAAATGCAGAGGCCGAGATTGCTGGTACCGACTTCCTGTGAGTCTCATTTGTTTCAATTCTCTCCCATTAATCACCATATGTCAATTATTTTGTATTATTTAGATATGCCCATTTCTGATCACAAGTCACTATATGAGTTTATTTGATCAATTGTCATATTTTTTTATATGTTGTATTTATTAATTTCTTTGCTCTAGATTCATGAGTTTGCAATCATCAATAGTCAAAGGAAACTTTCTTTCTTTCTTTAAGAAAGGTTTTGGTGTAACATAAATTTCCCTTGCATTTTTTTAAATTGTTTCTCTATTTTTGCTCCTTCAGTGATTGGACTTATTATCTTCATTTGTAAGATTGGGTTTAATTTCCCTGGAATCATGATCACTATTCTTAAACCACAGATGAAAGTTTGAAACTAATTATACATAGGATCTCACTATCTCTATCTATTAAACACTCACATTTCTAAATCTAATAATTAACCTTTTTTTTTTCGACCTGTAAATCTAATAATTAACTTGATGCTATAGCTTGTACTATGAGTGGGAATTCTATGCCCCATCCTCCCTCCCCTCGAATATTATTAAATATGTTCAATTTTGATGCTCTGAGAGGCAATGGCAGGGAGTCAGTTTCCACTGCAGTCAGTTCAAATCTAGTTGAGGAGAGTGTTAAATTGGTTTACGGAAAGAATACAGATGTTGTGAGAGAAGGAAGGTTTGCTGGAGTCCAAGCTCTCTCAGGCACTGGCGCATGTCGCCTCTTTGCCGAGTTCCAGAGGCGTCTTTATCCTGAATCAGCAATGTATCTACCTGATCCGACTTGGTCGAAGTAAAGCCCTTTCCAACTTCTTTAATTTAATTTCCATGTTGTTTGTCATATACATTCTTTTCTCACTGAGATACCCTCGTGTCCATTGCACAGCCACCACAACATTTGGAGAGATGCCCAAGTTTCACAGAATACCTTCCGCTACTACCGTCCTGAGTCTAGGGGACTACACTTTTCAGCACTCATGGATGATGTTAAGGTGAGTTTAGTTGTATGCCATATGCACAGGTCAAGGAAGGAAATTGTTTAACAATTTAGAGGAGATTTCATGCTTATTCTTATATTCTACCACCCCATGTTGTATTACTCAAACAGACAAATAGGTGATTTGCAGGAACCAGCTTGTCTCCCCCCCCCCCCCCCCCCCCCCCCCCCCCTCCCCATGTAGAACCACTGCCTTTGACAGCTTCCTTTTTGACAATGCAACTATCAAATGGTCAAAAATCATCCATTAAGGGCTGAATGTTTTAGTTTGGCGTTTTTAAGGTAATTATTCATTTTAAATGTGTTATTGGAACCAAAAAACAAAAAACAAAAATGCAACCATGCATATGCATCATCCTAAGGGAAGATGAAGTAACAAATGTGATCATAAGCAATACTATAATATATTCTAAATCAGTGATATATTAGCGTTCCTACCTTTGCATTTGCAATTGTATTTTACCCCGTGACTATGGTGTCAAAGAAACTGATTAACCACATTCTTTTCTCTTTCATTTGGTCGTTTTTTGTAGAATGCCCCGGATCGTTCTTTTTTCTTATTCCATCCTTGTGCTCACAACCCAACTGGGGTTGACCCTACTGAGGAGCAATGGAAAGAAATCTCATATAAGTGCAAGGTAAAATTTGAGGCAAATGGTGTTCTACATCATTTTTTGCTTACTATTAATTCCAGCTTTGATTGCTTACAGGAGAAAAACCACTTCCCCTTCTTTGACATGGCTTATCAAGGTTTCGCTAGTGGAGATCTTGACAAGGATGCCAAGGCAATCCGGATTTTTCTTGAAGATGGACATTTAGTAGGCTGTGCTCAATCTTTTGCAAAGAACATGGGATTATACGGACATCGTGTGGGTTGTCTCGGGTAGCAAATATTATTGTCTCATGTGATGTATATACTAGAAACTTGACGGAACAGACCTTTTTTTTTTTGCATCCTTAAGAGAGATCACTTGGCAAAAGCATACACATCCTGCATCTGTTGCTTCTAGATTTTTTTTTTTTTTCACCATTGCATCCTGAATGTACTGGTTATTTCACCAAAGTTATGGCGTTCAAAACCTACAACTGTCCAAAGATTTGCATGTGACCAGGTTTTTCTTATGAATTTTCAGCTTTTCTTATTCCCTTTAAATTTTCAGTGTTCTTTGTGCGGATTCAAAGCAAGCAATTGCCGTCAAAAGTCAGCTGCAACAGATTGTTAGGGCAATGTACAGCAGCCCTCCTGTTCATGGCATATTACTGGTCTCCACAATCTTGAATGATCAAGATTTGAAGGCGCTTTGGCAAGAAGAAGTCAAGGTATTTATTCTCTTTCTTACCCCCTCCCTATATCCTTGTTTCAATATTTGTTTTCTGATGTCTCTTCCTATCACATACCCTTGTTCCAAGGTCATGGCAGACCGCATTATCAGAATGAGAGCCACATTACGTCAGAGTCTTGAGAAATTGGATTCTCCTCTCAACTGGGAGCACATAACTAACCAGGTCAGTAGTTTTATGGTTGAAGTTTTGTTACAGATGGCTTCAGAGTGTGCACGACCATTTCACCTGTTAGAAGCCTATTAATCAACAAAACCGCAGGTTGGCATGTTTTGCTTTTCTGGGTTATCACCTGAACAAGTTGATGAGCTTGCAAAGGAGTACCATGTCTACATGACCCATGATGGTCGCATAAGGTAATTTGACATATAAATTGACCATTAACTTACTTTAATTACCTTTTATAAACCAATTTTCTACTTTTTTTGTGTTTGAAAAACATAATATATACCCCAAAATCCCTAGGAAATTCAGCTTTGGAAGCCCCTATCACCATGTGTGTGTGTGTGTGTGTGTATATTTATGGTTATCATCCAATTTTTCTAGTTTAAAGTGGCTATATACCACGCTTTCCTTTGATGCCCCTAATAACTGCAATCTCATATTTTACATTGCAAAAAAATGTTTTTTCTTTTCCCTTTTCTTTCTCTCTGTTCCTTTTCCATTTCCGGAACAGGCAATGAGACTGAAATTGCATTTTTGGCAGCATGGCAGGAGTAACCACAAGCAATGTGAATTACTTGGCAAAGGCAATACATGAGATCACAAAATCTAGTCGAGAGGCTTAAATTCGTTGCATAGACAGCAAGTCATATATGAACAATTTTTACATGATGTTCTGTTTTAACAAAATGTAATTGCTCAGGGGATTAAAAGAAAGGCCCCTTAATACATATGTTTTATATTGAGACTTTTGGCGGAAAATGGGATGTGCATTGTACCACTTAGACAAAGTCAATTTATTGGAATTTGAATTTTATGACTTCAGAGTAAAGAATCAGTTGTGAATTCATTGACATTTTTTTGATATGTTATAATTCGCTGATCTAAAGGAGGAACAGGGCACTAGATTGTTTTGAAACATATCCTAATGACCTACGAAAACCCTAACCACCATTGTTGATTTGATTAGAATGCTGACCTTTTTCGATTAAAAAACTGAAATGCCCCTTTGCTGAATGGATCGCAAATACTTGGAATCTCCCCAAGTCAATCTTTGATGCAAGCAAGAACAAACCCTTCCTCTCTCTCTCCCACCTAACCAAGCTCTCTGTGTCCATTGGAATGTCAGGTAAGGTAGTTGTAGTAGTTTTCTTTTATTGGTCTCTGTTTGGGCCTTGTATTTGATGGGCTCTTTTCAATCGTTTTGCCTTTGGGTTTGTGGTATAAGAATTTTTTTTTTTTTTTTTTTTTTGATAAAGTATACAGACGTCCCTGAGGTTTGGGCAAGAACAGGCAGATGAAACTTGTTAAGTTTGATATAGTAAATAAAGTGTAAAATAAAGGCACTCCGTCCAATGGTAATGAATTAATATTTTTGCCCTTTGACTTTTATATGGATCAATGTGAATATTAAAATTACCTTTTTAACCCCTCTCTCTCTCTCTATATATATATATATATTAATAATTTGTATATACACATATATATAATCAACGAAGAAGACGGCGCGTCCTTTACCTCGGTGCCGACGGTGGCTTGCTCCTCGCCGGCTCATGATTCTTGTACAGAGCTTCGATGAGTCCATAGCAGAGAGCTCCGCCGACGGCCGTGGCCCACTCCTCGCCAACGCATGATGTTTTACAAAGCTCCGGCTATTCCATTGCAGAGAGCTCTGTCAACTCTAGATCTTTCGAATTCGACGAGGCCGACTCTAAATCCGCGAGCACAAAGGTGACCGAACCTTCAACAACCATTCATGGTTCTTCCTCCATGATCGTAGCCAAACTTCCATGGTGAATAAAACCGCGAGCTCTGAACAACATCAAGCTCTACAACGAAGACCCAGCTCCGGTAAAGCACCGAACAAATAGCGACCTAAAACAGAGAACTTCAACGCCCTAGTTCCGATGGTGACGAGACCCACTTTAGGATTTCAACCAAGCTTCTGTCTAAAGAGAGAGGGGAGGGGGGACAAACCCATATATTCAATGGTGAATCAAGTATGTTATGTTGGGGTTTAAGAAGTAAAAAATGGCAACTCTATAGTAGAAATCACCAAAAAAAAATAACAAAGCAAACGTTTCACAATCAAATGCGAAGTCGTGGAGGCTCTGATTTCGTCATTGTTCACTAGAGACAACAATTTGATAAGCAAATTAACGAAACAGAGCTCACCGGACGTGTTTCAGGTTAATTCTTTGATGTTGTTTCCGAAAGATGCAGTACAGAAGTACCTAAAGGTGATCAAACCTTTGTACATTTAGGTTTCAAAGCAATACAACGAGAAGACGAAGTTTTCAGATCAGTCGTTGATGGTGACTCCGATGTCGTCTCCCGCAACGGCGCTGGTTTGTTCGCCGAGAAAGCAAGCAAAGGAGAAACAGGGGAGTCGACGGTGGTACTCCGCCTGTTTCTTCTCGTTTATTCCCTCCGATTGCTCCACCGACGAAGACACCAACAACAACAACCCAATCGGTGTCGATTTTAAGCAATCACTCGAATACTTACGCCTCATACTCTCGCTTTCTCGTCGGGCACCAAAACCTCATCAGTAGCTATGATCTAAATATCTAATTAGAAACTAAACTAAGCTTTCTTCGATGAAAATTCAAATTACAGTAAAGAAACAAGATGACCACAAATCACTATTGTTAATTTTTTTGGTACCAGGTAGCTCTGTCCGGAGAAGATGACCATATTTTATCACATGTTTGCCACGTCAAGGATGAGGATATTTTTGACATAAAAGATCATAAGAAAAAGGTTAAAAAAAGTTATTTCAATATTCACATGGATCATTATAAAAGTTAAAAGGCAAAAATGTTAATTCATTACTATTAAATGTCTTTGGTTATTGTATCTAACTTAGGCGACGTCTCTGTTCTAAAATAGGCTAAGTTTCATGTGCTGTCCTTACCTCAGATCTCACGAGTGTTTACGTACTTTACCTTTTTTTTTTTTTCACAATTTTCTATTTTTCATATACTCCGTACTCATTTACTTTTGCGGGCGGGGGACAGTCAGTTTCTATTTTCCGGGGGAAGAAAAGAAACGCAGACAAACAGTCAGTTGCAACTGCAGTCAGTTCAAATCTAGGCACTTGAAAATTTATCCTTCTCAGTCAGTTTTAATAACGTTACCTTTTCTTCTTGAATTCTGGGAAAATATAAATTAATGAGAGATTGGGATAATTTGAAAAAATAAAAATAAAAAAAAAAATCATAAAACTTTTAAGTTAACTTGATTACTCCGGTACCAATAATAAAACGCTTTTATCATCAAATAAGGAGTAAGGTGTAATTATTCCCTATAAAGTAGAGAAATAACAGTATATATTGGACAAAAATATTACTTATTGAATAGCCTGGAGTAGTAATAATTTTTGAGAGTTTTTTTTTACTCCTATCTCCCCTCAGCCAACCAAAGAAAGGAACACTTTTATAACCTTCATTTCTTCCTCTCTCTTGAAGTTCGAACGAATTCAAATAGCTTTTCTAGCAACGGCCAAATTTGCCACAGGCAACGGTCACCTCATGATGTCTTCTTGGGCTAAGAGAAACTAAAAAGGACAAAGTAAAATAAAGGTTGAGTTTACTTTTGCCCAAAACAAACTGAACAATGGTGGTCCATTACAGTATTACACTAGCATGCTCTTCTGATTTGCTGTCCTACGTCAACGGACGTGATGCAACTCATTATTCGAAATAATTTTTTAAATATATATTATGTGAAGCTAAATAAATACTACTACTACTTTTCATTTTTTTTTTGTTCTTTCATTTTATTTAAATTTTCAATTAAAGAAATGATATAACAATTCATTAAAAGTAGAGTAAATATATATTTGAAATTTTGAAGGGCAATTGTATTAATTTTTAAATTTTATTTTGAAAAAAAGTTGAGAAATAAAGAGTATGAAAATAAAGGCTTATGTAGTCGGAAAGGAAATTCATTATTTTCTTGATATTTTATTCGTGGATTCATAAATAAAACTAATGGCAGTCAACTCTTTTTCTACTTATTTAAATTAGAATCATATAATGGAGTAATTTTTTTTATGAAAGGATTTCCATAAGGGAGAGTGTCCTCTTATTTATTTTTGTTTTCAAATAAGATTAATTCTTACAATAAGTCATAAGTCAAACAAGCTCACAATTGACGGTCATGTTTATTAACTAACTAATTCCCACTTAGTTATAAATTTTTAATGCAACTTCTAACAAAATTATAAAATATCATTTCACCTGAAAAATACTTTAGCATAAGGAAAAATCAACAAATTAAAAATTAAAGGTTTTGATTCACTTATATGAAAATATAAAACATTTTTCAGAGGGTAATTGAAATTTTAAATTGTTGATAACCAAATGGATTTTAAAGGTAATAAATTTCTCTAGGCCAATTATAACCCTGTCTCCATTGGGCCTCACCCGATTTGGCCGAATAGCAAAATTTAATTTTGAAATTTTATCTTTAATGACGAATTATTTGAAAATGAAAAAGTAAGAAGTTTTCATCCCCTTTCTATTGAGAATATCAATTTTTTTTTTTATCTTTTTAATTTTTGAGTTTTCTGAGAAATGAAACGTTACACTATGTTAGGAACCGACGCAACGTTATAGTCTCACTCTATCCTTTCTCTGGTTCACCCTACAATAATGTTCCACTGTCTTATTGTTCTGTACAGCCTCTGAAACCAAATTAATCAGTTTATCGTCCACACGTTCCAACGATTTTCTGAGTCTAGGGTTTTTTACTTCTAGTTTTGTTTTTGTCTTTCAGTGGCCACCCAAATCTTAGATTGCAGTATACCAGTAGATTCCCCAGACTCGGATAGAGATTGTGGAATGGAAGAAGCTAAAACTATCGAAGCATTCCCAAACCCAGATAGAGATTGTCGAATGGAAGAAGCTAAAACTATCGAAGCATTCGAATCGGGCCCGAAAATGGAACCCACATCGAGTGAGGTCGACCCAGGTTCGGAGGAGCTCAAGAGGAAGAAAAAGAACAAATTGAGGGCCGAAATCGATACATCAGCGCCGTTCGAATCTGTGAAGGAGGCAGTGAGTCGGTTCGGTGGTATCGGTTACTGGAAACCCCATTCCCACAAGTCCTCTGAAACTTCTGAGGTCTCTCTCTTAAATACTCTCTCTTACACGCACACAATTTAGAGTTTCATCTACATTTATGTGCAAGCATTGGTTGTGTTTGTAGATGGTTTTCCTATATATATATACGGAGTATATATTTATGACAACTACTTCTTATCTACTTGCCTTGTCTTGTTTGTGAAATTAATTGGTTATTCTTGTTCTTCAATTTTGTTAAGAAGTCAAGGAGGACTAGTATTTTATTATTCCGTAGTCTACCAATCCTCGATTTTGAAGCAAACTCCTAAGCCAAAGAAGTCAAAGACGACCAGTATTTTGTTATTCAGACTCCACCCATCGTCATCCTCGATTTCTAAGAGTTGACTACACAAGCCAACTCCTAACCCAAATAAATCAGAGAGAATCAGTATTTTCTAATTTTGTTCATAAAGCCTAATCATACTCATTAAAATCTCATCCCAAGTAACCATAAGGAAATATGGTTTTCTCTTACTCGTTTGAACTTCAATTTTTCTTTTTTCTTTCATTGTTTATCTGTAATTTCAATGTGGTTGAAAATTTGAATGCCATGAAATACTTCTAATTCGTATAGTTTTTCCACCGGAATGATAAGAGAGAATACTATGCAAAACTGGTTACTTCGTCTGAAGCAAATGAGATCCCATTCTATTTATGTAACTTTGTAACCTAGGTTTGAGTGAATCTAACTTATATTGATTAGAGATTGCTTTATTACTTGGTATAAGTACACGTTGTGCATGTGTACAATTCAAGGGTATTCTAGAATTGGGTTCTATACTCTGCAGAATTCTATGGAAGTATGTATAACTCTAGATAACACAACACTTGATTCTAGAATGTTCTTGCCAAACAGACAATCCAGATGATGATATGGGTAGTCTGCTTGGTAAGAATATTATAGACTTTTCTATGTGGAGTTATGAAAAGGATTCCTACATAATTGTATCAAGATATAGATATATGTAGGCTGGCTTACAACTTCAACGGCCCTTGAAAGTTGTAATTCTTGAACATCCTAGTGCTTGGCCCATCTGCACTCATTTATAGCCTGATATTACTTACAATACAAATATATATATTTTTTTTCCATCATTTTCTTTTACATTTTCAATCCAATGGGTTCATTTTATATAGAGATGTACAATTTTTTTTTTAACCTCTTTTACCTTTAAGGATATATAGTTTCTTAAAATATAATTTTTAAACTCCTCCCTTACTTCACTTAATTTGAACCCCTCCTTTGCTTCTCCACTTAAAAGTTGTTGCCGCCCACGTGTATGGACTATATATATGGATTGCTATTTTAATTTTTTATAGGAAATATAATAGACTCAGTAGTTAGATGCCACTCATTGCTGCAGTGATAAAAGCTCTTCGATGGTTACGATGAGTAAACCAGTAATAGTTTTTTAGACTGGACTTACGAGTTTTCTTTAGCAATTCTTCAAATTTTATAACATTGCACATGTTGACATTTTATTTTCCTTGATTTTACTTTCATTTGAATAAAAAGACCCTAGATGAAATTGTTATATAACACTTTTTTTTTAAATATATTTTTTCCTTTTGCTAGATTTTATTTTTTAGTTTGCTCTTACTTTCCATTTATAAGAACTTTTATGAATTACACCTCCATCTGGGAGCAATAACAAGCTTAAAGGAAACCTATCTCACCTGTGGCATCCATGGGATTGTATGAATATCGGATGAATACGGGCTAGTTAACTCTTTTTTTTTCCTCTCCCTTTTCTTTTCCTATAGATTTGTTTTTTTGTTTAATTTTATTTTGAGGAGTTTTTAATTATGGCAGCATGACTTTGAAGAAGTTGACATTGCAAAAGTTGAGGAAGAGGCTGCACAATTGGAGAAAGATCTGATCGTAAAAGAAAGGGAAACACTTGATGTCTTAAAAGAATTGGAGGCAACTAAATTGATGGTAGAAGAACTTAAATCAAAGCTACAGAAGGAAGCCTCTGAAGTTGATACTGCTCTCGCGACTAATTTAGATAATAACAATGTGAATCCTGCTGTTGAAGTAGCAGAAAAAGAGAACCATGAGAATCTTGTTGGAGAGCAACAGAATTTGGTGGGTGGTGCAATCTTGTGCCCCTCTGCAGCTCCAGGTTTAATTTTAATGGAGTTGAAACAAGCGAAGTTAAACCTAACTAGAACTACAACTGATCTTGCTGATATTCGAGCTACTGTCGAATCATATAGCAAGAAATTGCAGAAGGAAAGAATCTCACTTGAGAAAACTCGTGAGAGATTAAATTTGAATTTCTCCAGAATTTCATCTATGGAGAAAGAACTAAACCAAACTAAAGCAAAGCTACAGCTGGTAAAGGATGCTGAAGTTAAAGGTCCAACTGATAGTCCTATGGATGTTTCAAGGGAGCTCCAAATGTTAAGTACTGAGGCAGAGCAGTTTAAGAAAATGGGAGAAGCAGCTAAATTAGAAGTATCGAGAGCAATGTCTGAGATTGAAGAGACAAAAAGTAGGATAAAGACAGCTGAGATAAGGTTGGTTGCAGCCAAAAAAATGAAGAAAGCAGCAAGAGCAGCAGAAGCTGTTGCTCTTGCAGAGATCAAGGTCCTATCAAACGTTGAGAGCTCATCTGATGTTTTCCTTCCAAAACCTGAAGGAGTTACTCTTTCCTCTGAAGAATACTCTTGCCTAACCTATAAAGTCCGTGAAGCAGAGGAAGAATCTAAGAGGAGAGTACTAAGTGCCATGCTTCAAGTTGATGACGCAAATGTATCAAAAGGGGAGATTTTGAGGAAGGTTGAGGAGGCTACAGAAGAAGTAAAGTCCAGTAGGAAGGTCTTGGAAGAAGCTCTGAACAGGGTAGAGGCTGCAAATAGAGGGAAGTTGGCTGTAGAGGAGGCTCTGCGGAAATGGAGGTCCGAACATGGTCAGAGAAGGCGTTCAATACATAACACTACAAAGTTCAAGAACTCTTACCCATCTCATCACCGGAAAAATTCGCGCCTTCTTGATGTAAATGGACTGAATCTGGCGAACGATGAGCCAAAGCCGGTTTTGAGACCAACACTGTCAATAGGGCAAATACTGAGCAGGAAGCTGCTGCTAACAGAAGAATTTGAGAATCGAATGCAGGCTGAAAAGGGTTCGGTGAAACGGAAGTCATTGGGTCAAATGCTTAGCAAACCTAATGGAAATCTAGCCTCTGGTCGGAAGGCTGAGAAGGAGAATGGTCACAAGCAGTTCCCTGCAAAGAGAAAGAAGTTTGGGTTTGCTCGGTTCTCGCTCCTGACGACAAAGCAAAGTAAGAAAAAGAAGCAGCAAACCCCTAATTAGAGAGACCTCGTGAGAGGTAGAACAACTGATTTAGATGATTTGATCAAGGAACTGACTCCTTTGTCTTCTTTCTGCCTCTCTTTCCTGTTGTTCCTGGTTTGTAATTAAGCTTGTCACCTCTATTGTTCCTTTCGATTTAGTTATGCAATTATGTGTGTTTGAATTGCTAATATTCCCTAATCCCGTGCTTTTGGATATTAGTGCCCCATTTCTAGTTGTTTGGCGGATAGCTTTTGTATGAGTTTAACCTTTGTTATTGCCTGACATGGAAGCTAGTTTTCGACTATAGTACGGAAGAACGTGATCTATGGAAGAACTGTAGTATAGAATATATATATATATATATATATATATATATATTCTTCCTTTTATTGTATTAAACTCTGGTCTTTTCACTTTGGGAGGTAAAGAATGAACACTCATTCTAGATGGCAGGTGGCTGGAACATGTGTCCCAATAGGTGCCTAAAATTGTAAATATTTTTGTTTCCTTTCGTTGGATATGGCATGGAGACAACGTTAACACATGTGGAACTTGTTCTAATATAATTTTAAAATATATTACAAGTTAATTAAAATATATATATACAAAATTTTAGAAAACAACAATAATATTTGATGTTTGGGTAAATTTTGCTCTGGATGCCAACTTGACTTGCCAGTTTAGTGTCCTAGCATGTCATATAATCAGCATGAACCAAGAAGACCTATTTTCATAATTCTGCTTAGCCATTGTCTTCTTCTAAGCACAACACAACGTTCATTCTTCATATGGTTTGAATGTACTATTGATTGTGTCTCATGTTCTTTTATGAGAGAGAGAGCAATAACAGTCCATTGACCAAACATATATTCGTTGGCCAAAGGAATTAGTAACCGAATCTTCATTTTGAAACGGGTTGGTGGTTATTAAAACTTGAGAGGTAAGATATTTTCTTTACATGAAAAACAAGTCAGTATTAAATTTGAGTCCCAACTAAAAGAGTAGTTGGACCAAAATTGTATACAGGCAAAGAGAGTGAGATTTTGTACCACTAATCACTGAAGGTAAATTTTAAATTAAAAATGTTATATTCTAAGTCACATGAAGCGGGAACGAAAGGAAAAATGCAAGAGCGTCAATTCTAAAAAAAAATTAAGAGCCTGAGCGCATTGAGAGTATCTACATACTTATTCTACCTAATGCATTATCATTTTCATTTATTAAATCTTATTTTTTATTAATTTTTTATATAATATATTTAAAAGTAATGAGATATATATTTATAAATTTTTATTTTTATTAATTAAAATTATAAAACAGTAATTATAATTTTTAATTGTGTTTTTAAATCTCAAAGGTCAGTCGAGTAGAAGTTTTTATTAGTTCTTTACAAAGGTTTTGGGTTCAATTCCCTTCTCACCCTATTTTAGTCATTATTTGAGCCAAACAACCCTGCAGATATCTTTTTAGTCATTATTTTTTGCTAAATTGCACCCGCATAAAAGCAATTCACGAATTCATCCAAACTCAAATGAATTCTAGATTTGAATTTGCGAACTCTAGAAATTGAGTTCATAAATTTTGTACGAATTCGCTCCGGATTTATCAATTTGGGCCCAGAGCATAAGAGCGGAGCCCTCGTAAGTGAATTATGTGGCTTAGGTAATGTTCTTTTGTATGAAATTAAAGTTTTGAAACTAAAATTGATATAATTGAAAAAAAAAATTGGTTTTATTTTCTGAGCTAATTTTCTCCAATACCAATTCAAAAGCTCAAATTCCATGACTTGTCAAATCTCTTTGAAACATTATTTATTTGGTAAGAATTAAAGCTACCTTCGACTGCATAAAATTGATACTTTGAAACATAGCATAATGACGGAAAAAAAAAAAAAAAAAACATAGCATAAAATATTCTTGTTGAATTAAGTATTTTAGTAATATCAAGAATAAGAATTAGAAAATGAGAAAATTTCTCATTTTCTAATTCTTGGTTCTTGAAAATTTCATTTTGGCCACAGTCGCTACAACAGGGCTCTTTATAATTTGCCCTAGTCTAATGATGACATGTCAAAGTATGATTGGATAATTAAAAAAAAAATGGAGAGGTTAGTCTTCGGAGGATCACAACCCATGGAGGGAAATTGCCAGGTGTGACTATTCATTCAAAGGAAGCCAACTAACGTTCAATTTCTGTTTTTTTTTTGGGAAGATAAACTAACGTTCAACCCTTCCGTACAAAGTATCACTTGAAACCTGAAGGAATAATCTGTACTCTCTCTCCCCATCTGTACTTTCTCTCCCCACCCTCTCTCTCTGTGGAAAGATAGAGGTCTTATACTTTCCGGAAAAAAAAAAAAAAAAGATAGAGGTCTTATACGCCCCCAACCTTTTGCAGAAGGTAAAGTTCTTTCATTTGATGTTTACATTTGAATAATTAGAGCTATACATACATTATGTCTGTGTTTGTAGTCATAATATGTTGTTATATTGATTTATTATCATTAATATGATTGCCCTTTTTGGGATACACGATAAGGTTATGTTTTGCTTATTGAAGGGTCCAATAAGCTGATTGACTCAGACTTGATGAACGGGGTTGTCTGCTAATTTTGGTTTCAAACATAAATTATTAGAAGTACTAAGGAGCAATAAGAGAGATAATTTCATTTTCTGAAGCAAAAATCAAGGTTGGGTATGTTATAATGTAGTTGGTAGTCGATTCATTTGGTCCTCTGCTTAGTTTTATTGACATACAGTTGATACAAAATGTTCAGGATTTTAAAGCAACCAAAATAGGTACTCTAAGCCTCCTCTTGTTTTGACCTAAAATATTTTGGTAGGAAAATATTTTTTTTTCAGGTAAAATATTTTTTTTATTTTTATTTTTTGATATTTGGTAAAATTCTAGGTCAAGGTTGAGGTCAAGCCCAGATGTGTAAAATAATTTGCCAAAAATAGTTGAGTAATTTATTTTTGTTGGATTTTAATTTTATTTTGGTTGTAAATATTTTACAACCACCAAACACAAGAAAATAAAAAAATATATATTTTGTGAAAAATATTTTACATTCAAACAAAAGAAGCCTAAGTGTAAGTGAGGGACTTGCTTACTATCTTAACAATATGAGCCCAAAAAACCTTAAACTTGGCTTGATTAGGCTAGTCGGCTTGGTGGCGAATCATTTAGCCTCCGTTTGGTTAGATACTTAGATGGAAATAGAAAGAAAAGAAAGGAAATGAAATGAAAATTTTCTCAAATATTTAGAAGTTTGGTTAGCAAGAATAGAAAAAAAAAATAAGGGGAAATTACTTTTAATAACCACCTAACTTAATCATAACATTTTCCTAAAAAAACACACATAAATTTTGTATTTCTTGATGAAGTTTTACTAACTTATGTTAATACCATTTCTTTTATGGTAAATTTTGTGCTATTCAAACAATAAAATTATCTTTTCTCACAATTTTCTTGAAATATTTTCTTCCTAATCAAATGCACAATGAAAAATTTATTTTCTTTTCACTTACTTCTCTTTCTTTTACTTTCACTTTCCACAATTAATTTTTGTCTAACAAACTAGACTCATCTACATGTTGGAAGTTTCCTTGGGGCTTATACTGAACCATAATCAACCAGGCTAACCGGCCTTAAAATGCAAAGACTGAGCACACTAGCTCTTTCAATAAGCAACTAAAGGTTGATCAGTTTTAGGGTCAGTGTTATTGGCTTGTAAAGAATTAGGGTAGGTGTCACATAATATTGATAGGAACATTGGGTTTACTATGCCATGGTGCAGAAATTAGCTCTTGACTTGGATCAGGCTTAGCATGAGTTACTTGTGCCTCTAGACCATTAGTAGAAATTTTGATGGTTTTGAAGTCTTTTTAGAGCTTATTAATGTACCAAAAGCGATTTTATGGTCTCTTTCTGAGGAGGGTGAGGTCGGGTACTGCTTTATAATTAGCTTATTCTCTGTGATCTTTGATATTGTTTTCAGTTGTCAATTCCATCCCATAAATAAGGGGTTGTACTTTTTGATCCTATTTATTTATTCATTTATTTTTTTTCCTAATTCTATCTGAATTTGGGGAAACTGTCTTCTGGGGGAGTTCCTAACTGGGCATCCGGTAGAACATCATTACTTCCTTGGCATACTGAGCTACCAAAGTTGAGGTACCATAACAATTAAATTGAATGTTGCTGAAAATATAAATACTCTCTTGTTCGCTTCTCAATCACATGAAGAATGCAAGAAAATTCTCTGAAAAATAGCACAGTTCCAGTGATTCCCAATATATCATGACAAAAATAAAAATAAAATAAAAAAACATAAACTCTTCAACAGAATTATCATATAGCTTTTGGGGCCATTTAGTATTTGTCCTAAAATCTTAATTAACAAATTGATGGGCAACTAAAAGTTCTATGAGCAGAATATCACTAGCTCGTATCCTACCATTTATAAGTATCTCCATGCTGGTTTCTGCTGCTTGATGATTAAATTCTTATTTAGCTAATTGAAAATAGTGATTGGAACCTCTGATTTCCAGCCGACTTTGCCAGAATGAGCTTGTTATGTAGGTGAATGAACAACTTTGTTTATTTTTCTTTGGATTTAATTTAATTACTTTCACTTGAAGCAGCATGGGTTTAAGAGTTGGGCTCTTATTTTTTACCATATTGAGCGCTAGCTGGGTTTGTCATGCTAGAGAAACGATTTTTGATCCATCTACAAGAGAGAGTGTGATCTCCAATGTTGCAGGTATTTCTATTTATGTAATATTTATTATTAATTCAAATATTGAAGATTTATTGCTGGACAGCTGCTAATGTTTCTCAGCATACTCAATTATTCCATCTATGTGGTTGAGAATTGGCCCCAGTTAGTGTCATAGAACCTGGCAACTTAATACATCCATTCCCATATATCTGAGTATTATGCTTGTGAATTTGTTGCATATATACAACTGTTTGTTCATTTAAATTACTTTATTGGTAGGGATTGTGAAATCCAAACCTCTATTACATGGATTCGGGTTGTGGGTATATCCACACTTCGGATGGGTCAAATCCGGAAGATATTTTTATTATTTAAATATTTTTATATTATTTTCTAGGTAAAATAATGTCTTTATGCAACATAATGTGTAATATCCAACACTTAAGGCGAATATAGATAACCTCGCATGTTTAGTAATGAAAATCAGATCTCAAAGTGGTTTATCACCGAAGATTCTTTGAGCTTGTGGATCTTGTTACTTGCCAATGCATACATATATCGTTAAGTGTTTGTGATTGCCAAACCATCGTTAAGTGCTTGTGATTGCCAAACCAATTTGTCGTTTCTGGATATAGTTCTGCAGATAAATCACCAAGAGTTAGAAAGGGGAGTTCAAGATGCAAAGGAAGTTGACATGAATGACAATGCGTGCACGTTGTGTGAAGAGTATGCCACAATGGCACTTGCGTATCTTGCTGAAAACAAGACCCAAACAGAGGTCATTGACCTCCTTCATGTGGCCTGCTCTCAGCTGCAATTCCTCAAACAGGAGGTAGGCACTGACCTTTAGCATTGCTGGAATTGTCTTTTGAAATTGTGTAGTTGCAATTATGTACACACAATTTATTTTTTCACCATAGTCCTGAAAGTGGCCTGCTCTCAGCTGCAATTCCTCAAACAGGAGGTAGGCACTGACCTTTAGCATTGCTGGAATTGTCTTTTGAAATTGTGTATTTGCAATTATGAACACACAATTTATTTTTTCACCATAGTCCTGAACTGTAAACACTGACAAGGTAATGTGACCCTTGTAAATGTATAATCTCAAATGAATGCCTACTCTGGGTATATATTGGATGGTACACATTCCACCTTGTAGATCACATACTAAAAAAATCTGTAACCACATGAATTTAGCCATCATTAATTCTTCCTGTTTTACTAATTTTTTTAGTGGCTGTAAGGTTAAAACAATCCGTTTGCTTACAGCTTAAAGTTTTTATCATCTCGTCATCATAATTCATTTGTTTTGCAAATGAGCTAGCTGCCTTGATTTAAATGGTCAGAATTCATGTGTTGTGCCAATGGAAATGGTTCAGGGACATGAGATAACCTAAGTTTCATACCGTCCTACTAAATGTAGTTTAAATTAAAGTGCTAGAGGAAATTGTAAACATCAAGTTTAGATGGCACAAATTAGGATCGTGTGGAAAAACATACAAGCAGGATAATTGTCCATTGAGTAAACTATGAGAATGTATTGCTCTGTTATTTTCATTGACTTGCAATTATTTTTTCTTTTTTGGGCAGTGTGTCACTATGGTGGACTATTATGCTCCTCTTTTCTTCTTAGAGATAGACTCAGTTCAACCTGCAGAGTTCTGTCAAAAAATCAAATTTTGCCAACAAATGGTAATCATCTCTCGGGCACTGTCAGAGGATAGCTGTGGGCTTTGCCATCGTGCTGTTGCAGTTTCTTTGTTAAAGTTAAAGAATCCTGATACCCAGGTTTGCACTTGCATCATTAGCTATCCTTTAGGAATTAGGATTATAAATAACTTCTTGCTATTTCCAGCTGCAAATTTTATTATCTAACTTTTTACATTTTTTACGTTGTTATCATATATTTCATACAACAACCAAGCCCTTTTCCCAACTACTTGGGGTGTTATCGTATAATTAATCTTGTACTTTAATTGTGGTTCCTGTGGCATGTAGTTGTAAATCTAGCATTTATTCCGGAAACTTAAAGCCACTCCTACTTTAAAGTGAAATAACTGCTTGTTTTGGACTACAATCCACCTTGTTATTGGTTATGTTTGTATGTTCAAAACAAACACATTAATGAAAATATTAAGTTCCTAATTGGTTGGCATTCATTAGGACACATGATTTTGACACTAATTGATATTCTTTAGCTATTGATTTTGTCATTAGATATAAATTAATTTTGTCATTAGATATAAATTAAGTGTTGTTGACCATGTTTAAATGAAAAAAAGTTGACATTTTATTTTGGTGGTTGGTTCCTTAACTTAAAAGGAGGGGAGTTCCACTTCAATATGTCATTCTCTCCTGGGAGTCAAAGACGTATGTTGTGACATTGAATAACTGAGATTTGATATTCGATAGACTTGCTATCCGTTTTTCATTCTTAAACACGGTAGAAATTGATCCCTTTTTTAACCCATGACCATTTTTAAGGATTGGTGTAGCGTTGAATGATCGAATTGCTGCATCTGTAAATTATACTTACAAGTAAAAATTTCTCAAGTAGAATTGGGAAAAATAGAATGGGAAAAAAAGATGAGAAGGGTGGAATATGTTGTATCATGAGAAATTTGTATAAAGCTTGAGAAATCTCTTTGGGGAAAAAAAAGAAAGAAAGAAAGAAAAATTGTTGGACATTGATAGTATGCACCGAACAATGAAGGTTGAAAAATTATGATCACGAAAGCTATGCACCGAACAATGAAGGTTGTACTAGAACTCTAGAACTAAGAAGCATGGATACGTGATGTATAACTGATTGCAGAGGCCTATATTGACCTTTTGGACCATCAAAAGGCTAAACAATAATTCTGACATGTTTTTCGAGGAGTCATGAGTAGCCCAATTTTTCTGGCAGACACTAATTTCTGATTGGAAACGACATGCTCAGTAAAACTCACTGCTACACCGCGACACATGCTGTTTTCAGCCAAATTCTAGCATTTAGGCCGTTGTTTTTGCTTTTTTGTTGTTTTTGGTCAGTTTTCTAGTTTTCATTATTTTTGTTCTGGGTCAAGTTAGATTTGTATTGTATTGGTTTTTGGCAGGTCCTTAGTTTAGTGATTTGGAGTTTATCCCTAATTTCATATTTTTAGAGGTTGTTTCCTAGTAGGCCCTGTTTTAGCCTTTTAGGGTTTTATGCTCCACTATAAATAGTTGTATGATCACCTGTTTTTTTATCATCAATAACAGTATTACCTATTCCCAAGCTTTGTGGATTCAAAGTTAACTGATTCCTTCTTAATACTAACTTTTGCTTCGTGATACAAGAAATGGACACGACGACATGGATATGCTGACATTACAAATCTTAAAAAGTGGGACTAAAATTGGACAGAGACAAAGTGAGGACGCGACCACAAAACATATATAGAAATTATATTTTATATGATAATAAATTTTATAACTGTACATGAAATTGCAACTTATAAATCATATAATTGTAATAACTCTTGTTGAATAGGTAAAGGCATATGAAGGACACAAGATATATTTGTATGTGTTTAATTATGTATGTAGAGATGTATATGTATATGGATGCAAAACTTTTTTATAGCCTTTGAATTTCAATATGGACAACTTTTTATAAAACCTTACATTGATTTTTAATATAAATTTCTTTTCCTTTTTTTGATGATAAAGCAAGCCTTATCTAACATTCAAGACTCATTAAACTAGTGTTAGCATGTGACTATAATTGTTTCGGCCAAATGTCCAGTATCAAGAATTTCTATTTATTTTTTTATTTTCTTTTTCTTTTTTTTAGTCATTGATATGTTTTAGATTTATTGAGCACGTGTTCCAGAAGTGTTGGTGGCTTACCACATGTCCTTAGAAGCGTCCGTGCTTCATACTATTAGCATTTCACGTAGCATTTTGTATTGTTTGCTGGGTCAGACCAGTTGCAGTACAGTGCCATAGTTAACTTTTAGTTACAAGAAATTTCAGGAGGGCTGGACGTGTCCAATCCTATCCGAGGGGTAAAGTATATAATTGTTTCAGGTAGACTCAGTGTTGCTACCAGCTTTTGATAGAATAATATTAATTCATATAGTCCAAAAGCATTTCGATTATATCATTGCATGGCATAGTGTAAATATATTCAGTAAATCTAAATTCACATGCATACTTTAAATATACAGTAAATCTAAATCCACATCACATGGCTTGAACTGGGGTAAGTTTTGCATTGTGTCACAATGTACATGAGTATTTTTTAAAGGAATCTTACTTCCAACACTCATGAGGCTTAGTTCTGATTAGTTTTATTTTCTTTTATTTCAGTTAGAAATAGTTGAGTTGCTTCTGAAGGCATGTAATACTGTTGTTGTGGAGAACTACGTGGAAAAGGTCAGAACAATTCTGGAACTTATGCTGGAATTCGATGAACTTTATGCATTTCCATGAACTGCTTGAAGTTAATCTTCGTTAGCTGAAAAATAGAAAATTATATGATTCTTTCTTCTCTTATCTATTTCAAGAAACCAGTTCACTGCTAATATTTACTGCACAATGATTATGAGGAAAAATTATTTCAATAAATGGTATATTTATTCACGCTATCAATAACCAAGTAAAATCTGAAATTTCTTTCTTGGGTGCTCTCAAAGAATTCCACTACTGCTGCTCCATTGCCATCTCATCGATCTGGCTCAACAGCCGCACCTTCAACATGTGATGGCTCAGGAAAATAATGTGGAACTAGAATAGCATATTCAACTGTACAAGAGGGTTTGCAGGAATCCTATTTACCGGTTCAACTTCCCGACCCTTGAATAACATACCGATATATGAACAAACAAAAAAATGCAAAAAAGGAAAAATGAAATTGAATCACAATAAAATCTCTGAGTCAGCAGAAACCTTCTCTCTTGATGCCTTTATCACAGTGGGAGGACGGCTAGGCCATGATTTATGTTTGGATCAATTGGTTCCAATGCTGGTTGCACTAGCTAGAATAAGTAATCCCTATATACTGTCCAACACTTGTGGTCTTCTTTGGTCCATAGGTTTGAACTCAAGACCTTGCCTGCTTTGATTCCATGTTAATAACCATCTACTCTAAAAGCTTAAGCTATTAGAGAGGGCTGTTAGAGAAGGTAACTTTAATACTTAAATCCTCTAACATGTTAAACACAATTAGAATGTAAAATCCAAGACATATTGTTGTTTGATCAATTGTAAAATTTGTGGAAAGTGCATTTCTCTTCTTTTGATTATTTCTATTTTCAAATTTTATGGCAGTGTAAGACTTCGGTTTTCGAATATGGGCCTCTGATCCTCAACAATGCGGAGAAGTTTCTTGAAACAACAGATATATGCACTGCACTCCACGCTTGTGATTCGCCTACTGCTGGTAACAAGCAAGCGTCATCCTTTGCTTTCTAAATCTTAATGATGGTAGCAAAAGTGAACTTTGAAAATGTCATGCTGCAAACAAATTGGAGTATGTTGTTTGTATGATAACTAAATTATGACTTGATATCTATGTTGTAAAGTATCTGTTATCAAAATTTAGATTACTGTCAAGAATCACTATATCATGAACGTCAGCATAATTACAGGAAAATTCAATTTATATAAACATCTCCCGCCATGCAACATTTCCCAATATAGAAACCTTTCTGAATATTATAGAGTTGGTCCTTTAGATAATTCTGTTTTCATTGATTTCCAAATTTATTACATGTAATTTATTCACCTTACCTGAGTGAGATCACATATTATATTTTATCTCCCTTGTTATTTATCATTCTTGCTTTGTAAGTCGTTCGGTTATTTAAGGAGAGTATAATCTAGGTTTAGAATTAGTAGTTTAAAATTTTATTTTCTAATATATGCATGGATGAACTTGAGAGGTGAAAGGGTTGTTTGAAATCCATGTAACATGTACATGGTTGCATGAGGATCCTCATAAAATATTACTCCTGTAGCTTTATTCTAAAATCCCTTAAATCTCGTAATCCAAATCCAATAATGAATCTTTTGTTTACATCCGAATCCTTTTAAATACACGCATATATACCATATCTACATGTATATATATTTGTTGCACATAGTGAAATAGTGTTATGCAATAGTTTTTTCCTTATTTTGTACTCTGATGGTTTACAGGCTTCACATTCAATCGGTGTAGAAAGAATTTTTATGGCCGGTGTATATCATGGCAATCCTAGCGACCAAATTAGAAAATAAAACATGGTGGTGACATCATATAAATTAAAGTTGATCATTAGGACCATAAACTTGTATTTTTGGTGGGTGGCTTCCAGATTTTTGTTTGCCATTGTTATAGGAATGGTAGGTAACTTCTCTTTCACATGATGTCAACTACAAGTCCAACTATTGATCGGTTGGTGACTTAATTTGCATTATATATATATATATATATATATATATATGAAGATTGCCTGCATGTATAGGAGATTTTTAAGTGAAAAGTGCAAAAATTATATAGAATGTGCAAATACTGTTCAAAAAAATTTCTGCATTTTTTAAATTGAGCAAATAAGGACATTCTTCATTTTAAAAAATGAAATGTCCTTGAGAAAAAATAAAAATATATAAAATATATAAATAATAATAATAATATAAAATTTTGTGGGGTTTTTATAAAAGTTTTTTTTTTATTTTTTATATTATTTTTTATTTCTTTAAGGGTATTTTAAAAATTTTATAAAAAAATAAATAAATTTAGTCAAAATTGACGACGGGGGAACAATTTGTTACAAATTTTTAAAATATAAAAATTTATATGGATTTTATTAAAAAATTGAAGTATTTCTTGCACATTTTGTATGAAGCAACAATCTACTTAGCAACACTCCAAATGTCCAAGATGCTTACACATCAATTAACAACAATTAACAAGATAAGAGTTTCCCTCCTCTGATACTTGTCGCCTCAATCGATTTTTATCATTTTTCTTTGTAAATTGGTTTTCCAAAGTTGTAGCTTTAGTATTAAAAACTCAAAAGAATATAAGCTCTCTCTATATATTCTCTCTCTCACGTGTCTAATACAACATATGAGCATTGTTGGAGTAGTACTGGTAAAACCCACGTGTAAAAGGTGAATAAAGAGGCAAAATTGACCGTCCAAAGTTTGTCAACTGGTGGACTAGGTCTGCAATACCATGAGCTTCTTGGAAATTTCCTTATGGTTTGTGTGTGGGCCCACCTTGTTACTTACGCGCCATTTTCACCGTTTTTGTGATTGAACCCGACAACCATAAGTGGACCCTGTTTGAGTTTGTATTTTTGCTTTCATTATGCTGTAGTGTCAGAAACATTGTTGTTAATTATTTATGGAAAGTGACGACTCTGCTTTGATGGCGATCTTCTATTGGATCCATTGTTTAAATCTTTAGAATTATTGATCGTGAGAATTTTTTTTTGGTGGGTAACAGCTCATGCACTCAAAAACACTACTCAACTTAAATGGGGAGTTTATTTATTTATTTTTATTATTATTATTTGATTTAGCCAGTGTTCTAAAATAATGACATTTAGATGTCCAAGCTAGTTGGAGATTAACAATAATGATATATTTAGATGTTTAAGTTTGTTTTAAAGTTCAAAGTTATGAAAAGGAAAATACATGGAATGTGATTTTGCATATTTTTCACAAAATTTAGAGGTCAACAAATTGAGAAATCAGGATTGTTCTCTGTTAAATTTTTCAAAAAAGAAACATTTTTATTTCGCCTAACTGTTCAAAGAGGTTTTTATGAGGTAACATCATCCACTATCCAAATTGACTTTGGACCTATCAAAATTTATGATTTAACAATGTACAATACCATTCGAAAAAAAGGCGTACAATTCCTTGTTTCTTCTAGTTGTCGAAGCAAAAATGTGGTTTTCCTAAAGTTGGTCCACCATGAACTTTGGCATGTGCAACGTGTGACGTATTGAAGTTTGCTCGCAGAAGATATCAATTATGACTTTGTCTTGCTTCTATACCTTATCCTCGCACTTATCGCTGTATGAGCCACCACAATGACGCGTCCTAACCTAACAGTCCTTTGGTTGAACAAAAAAAATGTCTCTGTTTTTTATAAACTAACTTCATAAGAGTAGAGTTTTTAATATTTTCTTTTATTAAAATGATAGAGAATGAATTTTCAAATATAATTTTAAATGGCATATTTAAATTACTTCAATTACTTTTATGATTTCAAAATAAATATGATAAATTAGGAATATTAAAAGTTAATAACTTTTTTATGAAACAAATATCGAACTTTTAGTATGTTCTATACGAAACATCTTCTTGAGTTTGTCTATCTTTGTTGGGTCATATTGTGTCTCTCAACATTGTTCGAGGCTTTCTATTCTTTTTTTTTGTTACTACGTTTGTGCAACATCCACGACAGCCATCACCAATTATTTTATTAAAAAATATTGTCGAAATATTTTCTTTTCGTTTCTAAAATGAAAATATGATTTTTTATTTTTATTTTTATTGAATGTAATCATGTAACACTTAAAGACTATTAAATTTAGGTTCCAAACATAAAACCAAGAATATTCATGCAAGTTGAAGTTAAACAAATTACCTAATCAATTTTTTAATAATATCGTGATGAACTTGAAAACAATATAATAAACAAATGGATTATATAAATAAAATCAAGGCCAACAAGAAATGTACTTATTTCGTTTTAATCTATATGAGCCTATTATAGAGAGTCTCTATTAAATTATTAATTAACCAGTCTTATTAATTATTATCTGCATCAATCATTATTTCTAACATTTATACTCTTTACTTTAGTCATTGTCACCAAAGACTTGAATTAGTGATCTTCCATATATTTCAAAATAAATGATAAGGATCAAGTATGAATTTTTTATCAATGACCCCAAAAAAAAAAAAAAAAAAAAAAAAAAAAATTGTCTCCTATATTGATATAACTATAGAAAATAAATTAAAATAGAAATAATTTGTAATACCCTTTTCACTGCATTAGTGTCTCCAATGTAGTAAACGGTGAGATCACCTCACTACAAGGTTGAAGGTTGTATTGGAGAGATTAAAGATAGGCTTAGAAATATGTAGAATTTATTTAAAATATATTCAAATGACTAAAAAACCCTCCCATTCATGATGATTTATGTTACGCAAGCCTAAAACACCTTGGCTAATGGAGTAATTCAGTCGAATCAAACCTGGGGGTGTTCTAGAGATCTCCAGAATCTAGCTAGATGCTATGGTCCCTTACCAAACAAAAAAAAAAAATGATTCCACACCAAAACAATGATACAATGTCCCCGTTACGTGGCGGTGATGCAAATAAAATCATGCCAGGTGTAAGATCTTACGCCTTTCGTACTGTTTTTCCTAAAAAGCCGAAACTGTAGCCAACGAAACTTCCCATGAATATGGCTAACAAGAAGACAAAAACACTTTTCTGAGATTACATAAATATGACTTGACCTTTTTTTAGTGTCAAATTACAATATTGGGTCGCTAATTTCCGCTCCTCGCATATAACCCATAAAACGTCCTAAATGTATTTAATAACTGAAAATGGGAATAATTTTTAGTGTAATAGAAAGCCTTTGTGATGGTAATGTAAATTTTTACGTTTTAAGCTAGTGAAGGTTGTTATTAGTTCATTGTAAATGTGTTTAATAGTTGAAATGAGAATAAACTCAATTGTAACATATTAAAAAGCTTTTACGAAGTTAATGTTAATTTTTATTATTTTAGTTAAAATTTTGAAAAGAAAATGTAAACACACTCATCCATAAGACTACAACTCAGATGAGTTGGGCGGGTTTGAAGTATAACTTGAGTACAACCCACCATATGAAATGATAAACCCAAGTCTAACCCTAACCCTATCATCAACTACTTAATCCGAGATCAACTCATCTTTCTACTTTTAAATTCGAACTTGTAACTCGGATTTAAATTCTGAGTTAAAATTTTGGATTAATTTGGGTTACTCATTTGACTAATCTTTATACCGAAAATTTAATATGATCTTGAATTAGTTTTAGATTAAATTATTCTTAAACAAAAATAAGTTTCAAAACTTTTTGTAAATTTTTAATAAATCACAAACAAATTTTTAGAAAATTAATTCTCCTTAATGTTAACATACAATAAGTTTAGATTTAACAAAAAAAAAAAAGTTGAAAAGAAAAAAAGTAATCATAATTTAAATATTATATATAATGTATTTAAAAGTAAAAATATATATGAAAATTATATTAGAATTCAGATTCGGATTGGTTCGGGCTGCTAACACTTTAACCAGGCCCAACTTTAATTAAATTTGAGTTGACATTTTTCAACCAAAACCCAACCCTAATTGTAAAAATGATTGTCCAAACCTGTGAAAAATCGGGCTAGGCTCAGGTTGGGTTCGGATAACCCATCCCAAGTTACACCCCTACTTATACACCAACAAATGAGAATTAAATCATTTACTTTTTACTTTGAAATCTGAGAAAATAACATTAGGCTACATTGTATTTGTTTAATTTAAACTGCATCAATGATACATTTTTATATTATATCTCTAAACTATTAACAAATTAATAAAATTGGCCCAAATCCATTTTTATATTTTCATTTGGGGCCAAAGTGGTAATATAAAATTAAAATTTATAAATAAAAGAAAATAATTGAAACAATTTTATTTTTAGTGCATTTTTAATTTACATTTTTTTAGAGCATATCTATAAATAATGTCAATTGTCCACTACTCTTTTTCTATTCCCTTTAAATCATAAAAAATAATTTTTATATAGTAATATGTTGTAGCAACTATTGCAATTTTTTTTTTTTAATTAGATTTTAAAAGCAAGAATAAATTTTTTGAAAGGATCACTAGTATTTTTTTCTCAAACCACTTTCAATTACCATCTTCAATTACCATAGATAGATAATTGCAAATAAAAATTTTAAAAAAATTTGAAAGGTGAGTTTTCCAATACAAACTCACTCTTGAAAACTATATATATATCACTAAATTTCTTTTGAGGTATATAGAAAATTACCATAAATAACTATAAGTTAATACTAGTAATACAGATTTTAGAAAAATTGGAAAGGGGGGAATCAAGTTTTTGCAACTTCAAATAAACAACTCTTAAAGATCAAAGAAGTGAGGTTGAGAGTTTAATGATATATTGAATAATGATCGTGCTCTGTTTTTTTAATTTAAATAAAAATATTTTTAAAAAATTCAAAGTGTGCCACTTTCAGAGTAATCAAAAGAGGTGATAATGATTCACCCAAAAAAAAAAAATGATAATGTTGTAATTTCACATTTTCACCTATAACTTAGGAATTAGTATTTTATAAGCGAATAGCGATTTCCTTCGGGCTTCGGTTCGGAGCGGGTATAAAAACATCGTGGCTTCGCTTTATTTTGTGTGCTGGCTATATATACATATATATATATATATATATATGCGCATGTGTGTATAGATTCTCTTCTCTACTGGTTCTTCTGATCTTTGATTCAGAGGCAAATTCTTAAGGTAATTGAGTTAATCTCTTTTATACAATACCTCTACATTTGTGTTTGAAAAAATTAATGTGATTCATTCCATTTTTCTTCATAAATTTGCAGTCTATGAGTTTTTGTTTGTTATTTCAATTTCCTTTCATCTTCTTTTTTTTCGTATTTATCTACCTTTGGTCGCTGAGAAACGGTAGTAGAGGGAAAGAAAATAAGCTTTTATTCTTCCAATTCTTTTTAGTGAAAGGATCAGTTTTTGGGAACCAAACAGACATAAGACACAGTTCACGGTCCTTTTTCGCCTTTCACCTTTCTCAGCAATCAAACAGGAGAGGAAAATAAACGTAGAACTGTAGAAGTGTTTTCGTAAAATTCATTCTCTTCTTTTTTTAAAATATATATATATTTTGGCCCTCCCCATAATTTGCAGATCCAGATTTATTCCATGCAGCTGCAAATACATAGTTTCTTTTTCTTGTTTGGTTTACAATCATGTACAAGACTCTAATCAGATTTTATTTTCACTTGAATTCCATGTTATAATTGTACACAATCTAAACTAGTCATTTATTGTTTTTGTTTTTTCAAATTTTTTGAATGCGAATTTTGATACTGCAGAATTCGGTAATTGTTATGTTTTTCTCAGTATACCAAATTACTGATAATTTTCCAATTTTTTTTTTTTTTTTTCTTTTGATATTTGTTAGTGATGGTATGATCGCGCGTACTTAGTGTTTTTTTTTCCTTCTATGCACTAGCTCCACAATCTTGAATTCTTTCTCAAATTTCTTTGACAATTCCTATATATTCCCTAATAATTTTGTGATTACTGCGTCGGTAGGAAAGAAAAAAATTGGATGGAAAGGAGACAAGAAGGATGAATGAGATATCCTTAGAGATTATATATTTCTTTTTTTTTGGTTTTTTGTTTTGTTTGGTTGGACAGAAAAAAAGAAAATAAACTCATAATTTACTATCTTTGTTAAGATAGAAGGAAAAAGAAAGTTTTAATTGTTTTTACAATTATAGTCAATAATATTTATAAAATTGTAATTTGTAGAAATATTACTGTAATTTAAAACTTGTATAATTTATAATAATATTTAATTTAAAACATCTATAATATAATATTTAATTTAAAACTTTTATAATAGTAATTTGTAAAGCAGAAGGATGAGTCATCCTTCCTATTCTCCTTTTGAACAAAAGAAGTTTCTTCTTTCTTTCTTATTTTCTCTACACACCTCCTCATTCCTTCCTATTTTCTCTGCACACCTCCTCCTTCCTAATACATATTATCTCATTGATTAATAAATTTGCTCTCAGAACCTGTCATAATCTTTTCATTTGTAAAAAAATTTCATTTTTCTTTCAACACATTTTGAAAGACTGATGCTTTTAGTTGCTTAAAGAAATTTGTGCATTAGTAGTAAGTGTTACAATCATATGTTAGTTTCATTGCTATTTATAGATTTGTATATGGGCATACAGTAGCCTACGTAGTTTGAATTTCCAGTTCTTATTCCTTTTCGCTAAATTTTTCTTCCTGTTCAACATTTTTTTTCCATGTACTGTATTTCTCTTTCAAGTTTTATGTACTATTTTATAGTTCAATGATATTCATTTGGTCTTTTGTTTGATTATAGACTCTTTGATTTCTTTTTCAGGTGAAGGCTTTCGTATATTTTCTGGAGAATTGAGGCTCTAACCTTTTTCTGCTCTGCCTTTTCACTCTTCTTGGTAAGGTTAAACTTTGAACCTCATCCATCCTTTTTAGTATTCTCTAGTTCATCAAAGACCAGGGAATGCTGAAAGATGTGCTTGAGAGCTAGGGAGTCTTTCTCTGCTGTTGATGAGATTATAGCTCCATTTGAGCTACACTTGTTTGTCCTCGATGAGATTGGACATATAGCTCATAGTCCTTTCCTATTACGGCCTCAAATGCCCACTGTGGCTAAATATATTAGGGGACGAATCGTGTCATATCATGACCTTTGCGAAGATGGTTGAGCTCTTATAGTGTTGGAATATATTCCTCACCGTAATAGCTATATTATATATTTCTGGTTAGCTGAGGAAGTAGCATATTATTGTGTACTAGATTTTCGTAAATTAGAATGGAAAACAAAGGGAGTGTGTTGATGCAACGGTATGAATTAGGGAGATTGTTAGGACAAGGAACCTTTGCCAAGGTTCATTACGCAAGGAACCTTAAAACTGGTACCGGTGTGGCTATTAAGATAATCGACAAAGAGAAGGTTTTGAAGGTTGGGATGATTGATCAAATCAAGCGAGAGATTTCTGTGATGAGGCTGGTTAGACATCCAAATATAGTGCAGCTTTACGAGGTTATGGCTAGCAAAACCAAGATTTACTTCGTAATGGAATACATCAGAGGTGGTGAGCTCTTTAACAAGCTGACTAAAGGGAAGCTTAAGGAGGATGTTGCCCGGAAATATTTTCAACAGCTGGTCAGTGCTGTTGACTTCTGCCACAGTAGAGGTGTTTATCACCGGGATTTGAAGCCGGAGAACCTACTACTGGATGAGAATGGGAATCTAAAGATTTCAGACTTCGGATTGAGTGCCCTTGCTGAATCAAAACGCCAAGACGGGTTGCTCCACACAACTTGTGGGACCCCTGCTTATGTTGCTCCAGAAGTGATCAATAGAAAAGGCTATGATGGATCTAAAGCTGATATCTGGTCTTGTGGGGTGGTCTTGTATGTTCTGTTGGCTGGCTATCTCCCGTTCCATGATTCAAATCTGATGGAGATGTATAAGAAGATTGGTAAGGCGGAGTACAAATTCCCTAATTGGTTCCCGCCAGAAGTACGCAGGCTGCTGTCAAAGATATTGGATCCAAACCCAAGTACACGGGTGTCCATTGCGAAAATCATGGAAAATTCTTGGTTCCAGAAGGGATTAGACACCAAATCCACAAGAATGGAAATGGAAGAGAAAGAACCGGCTATAATTGATGTTGATGCAGTGTTTGGTCCTACTGGCGATAGCAGCACCACAGCAGAGACAAAGCAAGAATTGGCAAAGCCTAGCAACTTGAATGCTTTTGATATCATCTCATTGTCAGAAGGGTTTGACTTGTCTGGTTTGTTTGAAAACAGTGATCAGAGAAAAGAAGTGCGATTCACGTCCAGGCAGCCAGCCAAGACCATCATTTCTAAGTTGGAGGACATGGCCAAGCATCTACGGCTGAAAGTGAAGAAGAAAGACGGTGGATTGTTGAAATTGGAAGGATCAAAGGAAGGCAGGAAAGGTGTTTTGTCTATCGATGCAGAGATCTTTGAGGTCACTCCAAATTTTCATTTGGTTGAGGTGAAGAAATCCAGTGGAGACACATTGGAGTATCAGAAGATAATGAAGCAGGACATAAGGCCAGCTCTGAAAGACATTGTTTGGACCTGGCAAGGTGATCAGCCGCAACCCCTGCAGGAGCAAGAGGACCAACCGGAGTTACAGCATTCACAAGTGGTCCCAATGATTGCCTCATCTTAGGATAAAAAATGAATGGAAGTTTCTTCAGGCTAATTGTATTTTTCGTAGTTTATTGTGTGTTCTTAGGAAGTGTCGTGTTTCGTCTCATGTTGTGTTTTTAAGTTGCTGTATCTATATTGGCGCTTAGAGATATGCAGTTACTCCATGTTCCTAATTATTTTTAATATTGGCCACTTATCTTCAAGCACCCAGAACAAACACAGTAAGTTTATGTATTGTTTGCAATCTATACTCCTTTTTTCTACGTCAGATATCTGTTCCATAGTTTTCAGTCTTCTTCTTAACTGTTAGTTCAAGTCATGAATGCTGCTTCATTTGCATTGTAGTTTCAGTCCCTACATACACCGACGCATTCACACGAGTAGGATTATTTTTGACAGTGGTGATTTCTTTGTATGTTCTTTTACATGTCTTCTCGTTATATTTTCAGCCATTATCAGCTGATGAGGATATATTGTACCATATAGCTGATGAGGATATAGTGTTCCATATGTAGTATTAACGTTGTACAGTAAATTTACATCAGACTTATTTTGAAGAATTAAAATTTACATCAGACTTATTTTGAAGAATTATTTACTCATTATTGTACCAGCAAGGAGGATGTTTCAATTGTGACTTGTAGAGCACGGGTTTGAAATGGAAAACATGTATCGACTCCGTGCATTTAATTCTCTTCAAGACTCTATGATGGTGGGAGCTTCGTGTACTGGACTAGTCCTTTTTATTGTCGGTGGCATTCCAAAACTTCAAAAAACCAATTCCACCAATTAAGCCATAAGCTATATAGTACGTGAAGAGCATCAATATGACAGTCACAAATGCAGGAATGGCCTGTCTCATACCATACCACTCAATCTCCACCACTGACGTCATGATCATAATAGAGGTTAAAATCAATGGCGGCCCTACCGCCCACGTTGGTAACGACCCCAACAGCGGCATAAAGAAAATAGACCCCGTAGCGGTCAATGGCATTAGGCCCGCCACCACCCTCATGACTGATCGATGATTCGATAAACATCGGCACAGGCGACTACCAAGGAATGATCGGGGGTCAATTGCTAGCACCCTCAACGACTCTGCACATATGGTGCATGGAATTTGAGGTTCAAGTTGTCATGTCATGGGACTTGGAATGGACTGAAAATGGAGAAGACTCAAATGATGATGATGTTAATTTAATGTGTACATAAGCTAGAAATTGGTGGATGCCTTTACTTTCTATTGATGGAATATAACGTGTGGAAGTTAGGAGTCAAAAGTGCCAATTTGAGTTTTATAAAGATCTTCCTTTGGCTGCTCCATCGCATCAAATTAATGAATATTCAGTGTCTGAAATGCCCTCAAATCTCGATCTCCCCTCTTCAGTTATACTATAATTCTATGGATTTGCAACTTTAGCTATTGGTTGAAATGCTTTGTAATTTTTAATGCATAACACACACACACACTGTTGCTTGAGCTTCTGTATGTCCACATCAGAAGTTGTTTTGGCATTACGAGAGCCTTAGAATTACTTGTAGTAAGGGGACCCTTCCAACAGGTTAACCCGTGATTCCGTGAATTCCTACTAGCTTCGGGTGTCATTTTCTCACAAAGGTATTAGTGTCTCTCTCTCTCTCTCTCTCTCTCTCTCTCTCTCTCGCTCTCACACACACACACGCGCACACAAACACACTACATGAATCAGAAATGAGTGTTTAGTGTCTACTTTTGAAGACGTGTTGAGTTGGTCGATTGCTCAAACTGCAGAATTTCAACACAGTTTTATTATAGCAATACAACAGCTTTGAACTTCTCCAATGCAAAATGTTATATTTTTGTGTTAAATTTATATTTTGAAAGGAGTTAGAATACCAAAATATTATATTTTTGCAATTGTGCTCCAATGGTGCATTTCATCCAAAATGTTATTTTTTGACAAAACAATCATTCCATATTTCGAGAGCCTATTAGAGTGTCTTATTTTCATTTTAGCAACTTTTGACAATTTTTAAACATAAGAAGTCTTTTGAGAGAATCCATTAGAGTGCCTATTTTCATCCATTTATTATATTTTAAGTTTGAAAGGCCGTTTGAGAGTTACTATATTTGAGAATACATTTAAGAATATCGAAATATGAGAGATTTTTTGAGAGATGGCGTTTTATTTTTATCCGACTACCATATTATGAATTTAAGAACCCATCTAATAACTCATTTGAGCGGGTATTGGAAATGCTATTATTACTTGCAGGACTAACAAACTTCTTAATTAAATACAATTCCAAATGTTAAAAGTTGTTGTCAAAGTAGCAAGGGTCAGATTGATTTTTATTGCGAGAAGAAGAAGTCAAATTCCAAGGTTGAATTTTTGGGAGCTGGCAAAATGGGTCTTGTGTTCAACATTGACCAACTTGGTAGGTATGACATATACTCCGTACAATAAATATATATGCTTATTCCTTGTGTTTTGTGAACAGATATGAGTTATGATACATTAAAAATAAGAGTGATGAATAGGCTGTTCAAAAAGCCAATAGTAAAAAAAGAGAGGTCAGAGTCCCACCATAGTTTGAAAGATCAAAAGGCAAATTAAATTGTGGATTTGCCACTATACTAACATGGTATTTGTGAATATTGAATTGAAAGAATTTTAATTATACTTTTAAATTAAATATTTTTTATTTCTAAATTCAAGATACTAATTTATACTCCCAAATATCATATAAACCAATTTAAGATATATAGTTACTCTGTAAATAAATTATAATGCAAATGTTTTTATAAAAAATTATTAAATGTGTTCTATCTTAATAATTGAATTCACCTCAAATAATCAACATGCTAGTAGCCTAGCGGTATTAAACTCTTACTTTTCAAAAAGAGGTCAGTTAGAATTCAATTCGTAGTGAAATATGTGTGTGTGAACACCAATTAAAAAAAAAAAAAAAAAAATCACCTTAAATAAATACATATCAAACACCCTTGCATGCCTTATATAACCTCTTGTGTAACACTTACTATTCTCATCCTATTTATCTATATAAGCAATAAATAGTATCCACTCAATCTCTGACAGTTATTTAGTATCAAATAGAAACTTTACATTATTAAAAGGCATTTTTATTGGCACTTAATTATTTTATATGCAAATAAATTATATTATTATTTAATGTTGCAAATCAAGTAAACAAAAATAGAGGTTTCGTTTAGTTTAACATAATTGACTTGATAACAACGATTTGATTATTTTTTGAAGTAGAACCTAAATAACCTGTAAAGTGTTAAAAGAGTTTGGATTTGTTCTATTTTAATTGCATTTTGGAATAGATTATTGTGCACTCTACCCAAATCGTTCAAATTCAACCGGACCGGCGACCCGGTCCAGACCCACTCCAACGGTCCAATGGTTGATTTATATATAAGAATTCATTACATTTCTCCATTTTCCTTTCTTTCTCGTTTCTGTCTCTTTATCTCTTTAAAATTCTCTCTCTCTCTCATCATCGTCACAGTTTCTTCTATGGTAAGGATTGAACCGACAAACGACCACCGTCTCCGAGGCCGACACCACCACCACCATCGTCGTCATCTTCGCCGATACAACTACGCAAATCTCTCTTGTTAGTCAATTGCCGCCCAATCTGTAAGTACCCTAATAACTCAATATCATCCATTCTATTGATTGTTCGTTTCTTCCTCACTAGGTTTCGGAGCTTTCTAAAGACACCGTTTCTTGAATCACAATTGATCTCTATAATCAAGCTCACTATTCTGATTTCTAATTTAATCTTTGATCATTTGATGAAAATTAGGTCGTCTTTCACGAATCGATTTGTTAGGGTTTGGAGGAATTGTATTTTGTTGTTATTCGATTTGGACGATAACGTAGAGTTGGGGTTTTGTATCGATAAACTAGAGCTTGGAATTATAGAACTGTGATTGTTGTTAAACTTTGGGGTTTTGTGTGATTGATTTTGATACGGGAAAGATAGGTGAGGGTTAGAGGATAATGTGTATACTGTGTGTGATTCAGAAGTGGTCTCGACGGGTTGCTACCATGCTTCCATGGTTAGTGATTCCACTGATTGGACTATGGGCTCTATCTCAGCTTTTGCCGCCGGCCTTCCGGTTTGAAATCACGTCGCCAAGGTTGGCGTGCGTGTTAGTGCTTTTGGTTACCCTCTTTTGGTATGAGGTGTTGATGCCGCAGTTGTCGACTTGGCGGGTGCGGAGGAACGCCCGGCTTAGAGAGAGGAAAAGGTTTGAGGCTATCGAAATGCAGAAGCTTCGGAAGACGGCAACACGTAGATGCCGGAACTGTTTGACTCCATACCGGGATCAGAATCCCGGTGGGGGACGATTTATGTGCTCGTACTGCGGGCATATTTCAAAGAGACCAGTTTTGGACTTGCCCATCCCACCTGGATTGGGCCTCTCAAATTCTGGAATTTTGAAGGATTTAGTTGGGAGAAGTGGGAAGATACTGAATGGGAAGATGTGGGCTGATAATGGTTGGATGTGTGGTCAAGATTGGTTAGAAAATGGTAATTGGGTTGGTGGGTCTTTTGCTGGGAAGTCTAATTACTGGCAGAGGAACGGGGGTGGGTTTTTTGGTGGCGATGACCATTGTATGGCAGAGAAATCTTATTCCTGCGTTGTTATGTTTGCCTGCAAGATTTTGATGGCTTTCTTCTTGAGCATTGGATGGCTCTGGAGAAAGATTACTAGGGTTACTTCATCTGGGGATGATTCTTCATTGGATGCAGAACAGAAGGGAATGTTGGATAAAAGAGGTGAGAATGGGATGAATTTTAATGAGAGCAGGGGAGAGAAAGCTCGCAGAAAAGCCGAAGAGAAGAGACAGGCTAGGTTAGAGAGGGAGCTACTGGAAGAGGAGGAGAGGAAGCAGAGAGAGGAAGTTGCAAGGTTGGTGGAGGAGCGAAGGAGACTAAGAGATGAAAAGGAGGCTGAGAAAGATCGTGGCAAAGGTTTAGCTACTGCCAGGGAAAAGGCGAGTAAGAAGGAAGCAGAAAGGAAGCGTCAAGAAAGAAGAAAGGAAAAAGACAGGGGATCTAGTAAAAGCAACTCTGATGTGGAGGAACTGGATAGGAAAGTTGGTAAAGAAAGTGAGCGAAAGCAGGATTTTGACAGGAAGAGTGAGACTGATAGATGGGAACATCTCAGATCTGGGGCTGAAAGTGCCAAGGGCCATAGCATGGAGACAGGACATGGGTTTAAGGTTCCTACTGTGAACAATCCTGGCCGAGGAAATACTGGAAGTAGATACCTGGATCGTGTGAGGGGTACTTTTTTATCATCTTCTAGAGCATTTACCGGCGGTAGTTTCTTTGGAAGGGGTGCTAGTACTGCAAACATTTCAAGAGAAAGCAAGCCTACTGGTTCTGTGGATCACATCCAAAATCCTGTAAAAGGGAGAATGTTATCTCAGGCTGAGCATGTAAATGAGAACATCACCCGTCCTGTAAGTCATCTTGCTTGTTTGATTTTTATGAACTTTTATTTTTCATTGATTTTGTGTCATTATCTTTGAAAACGTTTAAGAACTTGTTGCTTGTCATCTTTTTATGGAACCTTTCCTCATGCCATTCTGGCATTTTTAAGGACCGTCAGTGTTACTTGAAATATGTGAGCAGTCAACTGGTGTGATGCCAAGGACATTAGAGATTAGCCATCTTACTCAATCTAGATTTTTAAGCCAGGATATTAGATACTATGTTGTTTTTTTTTTTTTTTTTCTTTTTTATTTTGGGCGAATTGATGCATTTTTCATCTTGGGATTTCAGGATTTGTGAGCCGGTGCCAAGATTAGTGATTAGCCATCTTACTGATTGTCATGTGTTCTTGTATTGTATAACATGATCTAAAATTTTAAGCCACTATATTAGATACTGTGTTGTTATAACTTCATTTTTTATTTTATTTTATTTCGCGCGAATGGATGCATTTTGCATCCAGGGATTTCAGATTTTGTGTGCCAGAGGGCTTCATTTCATGATAGTATGGTCTAGTTTTGGTTTGTTGAGGGCAATGAACTTGGCTGTATCATATGTTTATGTTGATCTTTCTATTGCAGGTGCTTGTTGAATCACAACCAGCGACGATCCCTAAAAAATCATGGCAACAGTTATTTACTCGTTCACCAGATATTTCTCCACCCTCTCATTCAAATGTCATAAGTAGACCAAATGGGAAAGCCCAAGCAGAAGCTCAGAGCCCTCCTTTCTCTGGTCAGTCATCGTCGATACAATTGTATGATAACCCTATTAATTTTGGATCACCGTTTACTCTACCTACTTCTCCTTATGGATCAACGAGTAGTAGTACAGGTTTTTCATTTGCATCTGAAGGTAGTAGTACAGTTCTTCCATTAGCTTCTGAAGCCATGTTTCCTCGTATTGGAGAGGCACCTTGTGAATTTTTATCAGAAGAGTCAGACATTTTTGAAGACCCATGTTATGTTCCTGACCCAGTTTCCTTGCTTGGGCCTGTTTCAGAGTCGCTTGATAATTTTCAGTTAGACGTGGGTGTTGGTTTCAATGATTTGGGATTGGAAAAGCCTCGTGCTCTAAACAATATTTCTGCGCCTTCTGAAGTCAACAGGCCATCACCAATTGAGTCTCCAATGATGTCAAGGTCAAGAGTCTCTGATGAAAGGTATTCTAGCTCCAATAGGTTCCCAATTACTCCCAAGGCCCAGGATGGTTTCGCTTCGCCGATGGATAGTATGAGTAATGCAAATGAGAAGGGAACGTGGCAGATGTGGAACACTTCTCCTCTTGGTCAGAATGGTTTAGGTTTGCTTGGTGACCCAGGCAGCTGGCTTTTACCTGCAGAATTGAATGGCTCAAACAAGGAAGATGTTGCTCATCCTACATCTCATAAAACTATGGCATCACTGTTTACAAATGATGATAAATCCCTTTCTGGCACTTATTCTCCTCAGAATGTTTTTCTTGGCAATTGCAAAAATGGCGGGACTTTTGGTACTTCGCTTCCTAGTACTGGTGATGATCCCTGGTTACCAAAAACTTTATTTGGGCCATGCGAAAACCATTTCTCACTAAATCCTTCAGAGGAAATCTCTCATCAGCATGAAATGATTTATGGGAGTCCAAGTGGATCAGCATCTAATCCTCCATTTGAGTTATCTCCAGCCAATTGTTGGGCCAAGTAAGTGCTTATTTTCTGGATATATTGCTATTCCAAGATCCTATTTCTCTTATTTCTTTTGTGCCTTTGAGGTAAAACAAGAAGTGTTAGATGTGAAAATCTTCATTGAATTTGTATATCCTTACTGCTACCTTTTCTATTAGTTTTTAAGGCGGGTTTAAGTAGAAAATTTGTTTTTTAATTTTTTAATGTATGTGCGATGATTTTGCATTTTTTATTGCTTTAAAGCTTTTTAATGGGAGGATTAATTCCAGAATATTTAGAAATGACTGAAAGGAATATCTAACCTCTAGATGTGTGAATTCTTATGCGTTACGGTGGTATAAAATGTAAGATGATTGATGAAGGTGCCAGAAAATCGGGGCCAGGGTGGAAGCCTGTGAAGCACATATACTTTTGCAAGGGGGTCATAGTGTATCTCATCTAATTAAGTCTAAAGTTCATGTCTGTTATCCCTTTGGCCTTCTGACCTCAGCCAACTTTCATCATCCCCATTTTATCCCCTCACAAAAGCAACTCACACATTGTCATTCAGAGGAAGAGCCCCTCCGCTTTGACAACATAATTCTCAATTTGTTTGTCATGATTTTATTATTATTATTATTATTATGTAAGGGAATTTTAGTAATAATATACATGACAAATAATTACTTTTTATGTAGATACATATCTCTTATAATTTGTATTATAATTACGTAACTTCAATATATATACATTGTTGTGTTCTTGCTGTATTCGTTTCTATTTTTTAAGAATTTGTTATATTACCACCTATATATCATGTCTATGTAGCGTATCGGTTAGGTGGAAGTCAATGCGATCTTATGAATGGGGGAGATACTGCCGGTAATATGGATCCCGATAATACAGATGCTGTTGTCATATCTCTTATTGAATCAATTTGTTTAGGAAAAAAGAATCAATTTGTTTTGTCGCAAGAGGAATAATTTTTAATACCTTTTGAGGATATGTTGCGAATTTTTAATATGAATTTAGTTAACTGAAAACAATTAATGGTCAATCCCTACTTATGGAAAGGGGTACATGAAGGCAAGAGCTGCTTAGTGCTTATAATGGGCATATCCATTGTGATTAGATGCACTGAGCTCGAGGAGTTCCCTGGGTTCAGTTCTTGACAAGGTAGGCATAAGATGCATCAAGGTGCAGTGCACCATGAGGTGGCTCTGTGAATGAGCCAGAGTAAGGAGTAGTTCCTTCTCATCGTCGTCATCATCGCCCTTGATGACATTTACTATGAATGGGTTTACCTAGAGCTAGGGGCAAGTCTTTTGGAGATAGTTTGATGCCGGAAAGAAGGAGAAATAGGAGGCATCACAAGTATAAACTCAAAGAGTAGATATCCTCGCCACCCAAAGGAATCCACCCAAGCAATAAGAGTAAGGATAATAAGAACGTCTCCTTAAGAAGCCAAGGGATCCAATATTTATTCAAATTCATCAAACGTTACTTTTTAGTACATGAGAAAGTGCTTAAGCAGAACACTTAAAGACAACTAATTTGAATAAAAGCTAACTATATTTAAATAAGGTCATTGGGACTTTAAAGCTCATTTAGGTCTAAATTCACAGGGATTAGTTCAGTAGATTCTTTTGTAATGCAATCTAAAAAAGTTGTAGGCAAAATTCATGAGGGGAGGGAAAGACCTTTGATAATAATTTTGCATAAAATATATGATTGTTCTGATAATTAAGTCAGCTTCATGACGTTTGCCATTCCAAACATGCATTATACTTATTATATTGATTAATAACTTTCATTAAATTTGGTGATCTTGCCCCCCTTTTTTTGTGTATCTGAAAGCCATATACCATTATTTGGATGAAAATGAGGAAAAGACGTGTGACAATGTGTGTGACTAATACAATAACTCAAAATTTTAAAAACATCTTGGTATAAAACATACATTAGCTGCAACTAAATGGTTGCTGTATTTGTCATGTGAATTTACATTTATCTAAACCTTCCAATCACGAAAATCCAACAATTGTTAGTGCCAATGTATCCTAGAATGCAGATTGCTTGGCTTGCTCTAGAATGTAGTATGTTGTGGGCAGGCTTATGCCTGTGACGTGGTTGGTTGATGAAATCTTTTGAAGCACTGAGCTTTCAGAAATGGAAATGTTTCATACTTTACTAGGTGCATCTAGATCCTATTGTGGGTTTACCAATTTGTTCTCTTAAATAATAAGGGATAATTTCACTGACACCTACAGTAGTTTGGCCAAATATCAGTCTAAAACATCTTTCGAAAATAATTATCAGTTAGGTCCAATTTCGTTTTTCCGTTATTGCCTCCGTTAAAAACGTGTGAAAAGACATGTTTGCCCCTAATTTTTTAATCATATTTATAAAATTACAAATTATATATAATTATATATATATATATATATATATATATATATATATATATATGTTTGTGTGTGTGTGTGTGTGTGTGTGTGAGCGGATCTGAACGACGATTAGGAGTAGAGAGTTGTTTTGACAAGGATCTGAACGGCGAACACGGAACGGCAAAAGCAAGAACTATCGTGCCCGGCGAGACGCGAACTGAGCCGGTGAGCACGGACTGAACCGAGGAGACTGAACTTACAGTTTAGCAAGAACTGTTTCGGCAATCAGAAACTACGACGACAAATTTGGAGATGCAGAACTTGATTGATTGTACAGATCGCCGGCGAAGGTGGGTGCACTGGTCCGGCAACCGAGACTGATTCGGCAGAGGGAAAAAAAACAGGGGAACCGACGAGTGTCCAACGCTCCATCAAACCAAAGACCGACGAGCTTCAAAACAGAGCTTCGTTTGGAATTTTGAATGTCTGTTTGCTTTGCTGCTATGTATATATCCATGAACAAACAGTTTGGATTGCAGACACACCCATCATATACATCACACATATATTTGCACACACAGAGGTATATATATATATATATGGGTAAATATATATATGTACATGTATATATAACAGAGAACATGAGAGATAGTCGACGACCATCGCAACGTGGCGAGCTCAAAACGGCGGTGGCCCTCCATGATTTCGCGATGCTCCACAACAGCTTCACAAGTCACCACCACCACAAAGGCGGCGTCGCAGAGCTCGGACCGTCACGCCCGCCATTCGCTGTGGGTCGAATCAAGATCGGGCTGTGGTCGTGGAACTGGGTTCGAGGAGTGTCGTGACCGGAATCGTTGCTGTCTCAGGCCGTTTGTGACAGCCGTTCGTTGTGGGTCGGATCAAGATCGTGATCCATGGTCGTATCCTCGGGTGACGATTGAGAGGTTGGGTATGGGGTTGATGATAAGGGCGATTGAGGAGGAATTGAGAGTGATATGGTGTATCAAACTTCTGTCGTCACAGAAGATCTCTGTTGTTGGGTTTCTTTGTGGAGAGAGACAGAGAGAGTCCATAGGGACTGTTGAGAAGAAAAGAAGTTTTTTTGTCAGAAGTAATGGTGGAAACTGGAAAACCAAACATTCTATGTACACTATTTCATTTAAATCAACTCCGGCAAGCACTTCACCACCTAATCCTAACCCAACACCCATCAGAGGATTGGTTCCTCAACTTGTCACCGGAATCTGAAACTCTCCACCGCCAAGGTCCTTTGTTTTATTCACCGGAAGTTGCAGAGTTGCAGCAACCCAGTTCTTGCTTCATTGTCAACCAACATCAAGCTCTCTCACCGGCGACAAGCACGAGCTTAGGTCTGATCGGAATGAGCTTAGGTGGACAAGCACAAGCACAAGCACGAGTGGTTTTCTTCATATGCAAAACACATGAATATGCTTCCGTAGACCATCAAGGTTAGAGAAGAGTAAAACATGTGAGGGGTATAAAAGTCTCCCTTTTTTGATTTTCGCTTTCCGAACCTTCGTTTGTTTGACTGCTTTCTTTATTTGGAAGAGGCTTAGCTCCATTTCAAATGAGTTGCCAAGCAAGGAGGAAATCGTTCGATACAAATCAGAGTATCCTCTACTACGAGATTACGATCAACCTTGTGCTCTCTAGTAAAGTGATTCTTCTGTGAGCCATTCTAACATTATAAGGGTAAATATGTCATTTCAATCATAAAAAAAAAAATTAAATAGGTCAAACCAAAGTCAAAGGGTAAGAATGTCTTTTTACATGTAAAAAGTGGTCTGGCACACCTGTCAACTAACTTTTGGGTTGTGAGTGAAAAACGGAGCAAACGTTTGTAATGTGAATAATAGTTATTTTCGAAAGATGTTTTAGACTGATATTTGGCCAAATTACTGGGGGTGTCAGTGAAATTATCCCAAATAATAAATAATTCCAATGGGGGCAAATTAGTCATTCCATGCCTAAGAATGAATTCCATGCAATCTCATATAGGACAGTGAATTAGTATAGGTGATATTTGTGTTGGTTAAATTCCTTCAGGTCTTATGGGTATGGGAATTGTTTATCTGTAAGGATTATTGCCCATGGTTTGTTTGTCTTCTTCCTCCGTTTTGTGTGTCTGTGTGTGTGTGTTTTTTTTTTTTTAAAGGGTAGTTGTCTGATGCTTGTTTCATTTTTGTTTGTGTAGCAGAAAGGATTGGAGTGTGCAGAGTTCAGGAGAAGGCATTGGAAACTCAACTACCTCGAGGCCCCATGTTGGTGGCCTATATTCCACCCCAGATGTACAGTCACTTTGGTCAGTTTGATTCGAAATAGAAAGTGACGACAGTTTGACGGACTTGAATACACCCCTCCTGAAGAGGAGATTAGCCTCTTTTGGAAGAGAGTTTAGATTACCCAATGCATTCTTTCTCTTCTTTTCAAGGGAGATTTACTTACAATAGCATAATAGAAATACACGTGGCATGCATGCACTAATACCACCAGGTACAGTTTAAGTCACGGTTTTTTCTTTTTTACTCCATGGCTTATGGCCTCCCAAGGGGAGGGCTAGGGTTGCCCCCCTCAAGGGAACTTTGTTATTTGCTCAGGGAAAAAGCAATACCGGGTGAGCTCTCTCACATGATCTCAGATGTTGGAGTGGAAGGCTCTTAGGTGGTACTTCTCGGTTCAGTATAAAAATCGTAGTCATGATAAGGGTTCAAGAGCCAAAATCCTCTGAGGTAGTGATTTGGTGCTGTAGTGATTTTCACCACCATTATATCTGCTTTCAAACACCTTTACATCGATATTTTTTTTGTTTTTCAGCCACATGTAATGCGTTGAAAAATGTGTAATATTGTTAAAAGCAGATATAAAGGGGGTGAAAAGAGATGGTAATGTTTTGAATGGTGTACAACATCGCTACGGTCTACAGCATAGGGTCCTGGCTCAGTGGAGGTGTCATTTCAGTTAAATATAGCATGACTTTATGGAACTTTTGGGTAAGAGGAAGATATATATATATATATATATATATATATATATATATTGTTTTTTCCATGAAAAGCCAACATCCTCTCAGTAGGGCGCGTTTTGTGACGGTTCAAATTTTGAAAGAGAGAAAATGTTGGAATAGATGCTTGTAGAATCAAAGCTAAAGGTGTTTGCACTCTGGTACGGTATAAAAACAGTAAATTTATGGGTAAATTTAATACAAAATAATCTATAATTCTAAAAGATAAAACTACCCCTCCCTGCATCTAACATCTTACACACAAAATCCAACGCCCCTCTTGCATCTGAAACACACCGCTCTCTCCGAATCAATCACAAACGTAGCCGCCTTCTTTTTTTGCGACAACCATAAACTCGTCAAAAAGGCGAAAAGAAGTAATTGGGCTGAGGAAGGAGTGTGGATTGCAACCACGGTCTAGTCGGAGACTCTTTGGAAAGAGTAAAGCTGCCGATTCCGAAGTAAGCAGCGGGTGATTGACCATCGCAACAACCCCTACAGAGGAGCACTGTTCCATCTCGCCATCTACCTTAACGACGTCGCTGCCGCTCATACGAGGACGTTTGTCGCTGCTACTCTGAAATCTCCGTAATTCTCCTACAGCACCATCACCTCTCCTCCTGGTTAAAGTGGCACCACCGCCTCCTTTACCTCGTTGCCTCTCTTTACAAATTGAGAGATCTCTATATGGAGATTTCGTTGCAAATTGAGAGATCTCCGCCGTGATCGACCGCCGCAACAACCCCCGGTCAAAGTGGTGCCGCCGACTCCCTCACCTCGTTGCCGCTCTTTGCAATTGTCTGCTTTTGCCGAGAATCGTATGAGAGATCCACTTTGCCGAAGCACTTGAGTAGATTCTTGTGATCATTTTTGAAGGTGCAACCAAGTAATTCACTGTGGTAGATCAAACCCTAATTTAAATAAAAATTTGTTGACCAATTGCTTTACAGGTTTTTTTTCAGAGAGCAAAAAAAAGACAAAAAAGAAAAAAGAAAAAAGAGGGAATTGTGCCAGGCAAGCAATTACATTAAATACGCAAGCAATAATATGATTATAACAGCATGCTTTACATGTTAATATGCAAACAATTAAGAAAGAAATAAGAGTGTTAAATAGCAAAGGTTATTGTCAGGAAAAAATAATAATAATATCAAAAGGCAATGGTGTTGCTTGTAAGCTCATTAAGGGGTATTTTTGTCATGAAAAAATTGTCATAAAAAAATTAATTTTTTTTTTTTTTTTAAGTCAACGGATGGTCAAAAAGGTAAAATTGTTATTTTATATATAAAAATACTCTGACATCACTATAAATTGCCATTTGAGTGTAAGTGAAATACGAAATCACTCTTGTTTGAGTGAAAATTAAAACCAAAATCTTCATCTAAGTTAAAAATGACTTAACCTCAGGGAGTCTAAGTATAATTTATCTTAAATTTATCATATATTTTATAAGACAATATTACCCTCTTTTGTTTATTCACTATTATTTTCTCTCCTCCTTACATCATGTGTCTGTATTGTGTTTCTATATATAAAACATATATGTATTAATATTCTCTCAATGCATTATTTCTTTTTTTTCTTTTCTTCTTCTTCTTCTTCTTCTTCTATCTGAAGTATGATTATCTCATTACGATTATACTTCTCTTTTTCTCTTTACTAAATCATTCACTTCTATAATTTACAACTAATAAAAACTCAATTATATAATTTTATTTCAACTAAAATTCAATAAGTGTACCGTTGTACTCCTCGATCCCTCACTCTTTACTAAACCATTCACTTCTATCTTTTACGATTAAAGGAGGATATTCGCACTTCACTTTTCTCCAATTATATTCCATTTATCTTTTTCTTTTAAAAAAAATGACAAAAAAATCCTTAAATTCATTAATGCACCATCCCTTATTTTATAATGTCATAACTATTCTTTTTACAACTTTTAACTCTTTTTTCACCTTCTTTAGTCTTTACTTCCTTTACTAATTTATTTATTTATTTTCTTTCTTTGTTATACTTTCTTTTCTTTTCTTTTCTTTTCTTTTTTTTTTTTCCCCCTATTTTCAAAAGTTCTCTCAAATAGTATAATTTATTCAATACTAATAATTTTATTTTTGGCTGTCAAAATAATTTATTCAATAGATGTATTTTTTTTTTAATAATTTTTTATAGGTCTCGTCAAAAGAAATAACATTTTTTGTACGGTCGTGTCAAAAGAGATAATTTATTCAACAGATATTTATATATATATATTTTGAATCCTCTTTTTTGTACTTTTTTTTTTTTTTTGGATCTTGACAAAAGAGAATTTCTTTAATAAATATATATTTTTGGGGGTTTTTTTTTCCCTGTCATAAGAAATAATTTTTTTAATGGTCATTTCTTTTTCAATCCAATCAAAAAAGGCAATTTATTCAACATAAATATTTTTTTGGTCCAGTTAAAAAATATATATATTATTCAACTTTTTTTTTGGTCCTGTAAATAAAATAAAATAATTATTCAAACTTTTTTTTTTTAAACTTATCAGAAGAAACCTAAATTATTAAAAATTAGAGAGATAAGGAGATGAAATATAAAATGGCGGGTTGTGTCATTTAAAAAGTAGTAATCACATGTACCTAAATTTAAGGTTAAAATTATCATTTTATTTAAGATTGTAGTGCAAACCGAGAAAAGTGGAGTGCGAATATCGTCTTCCATAAACTAAAAGTCTAAAATTCAATTATACAATTTTACATCAAAGAAAATTTAATTCTATAATTTATTTTAATTAAAATTTACACTAATAAAAATTCACATCTAAAGTATAAATAAATAATATTTAATATATGCAGAATCCATCATTAATAAAAAGACTGTATATGCTATATACTAATAATAATAATAGTAATGCATTTACAGAAGATTAGCTATATATTGTATAAATAATCAATAAATAAAAAAGGGTAATGTTGTTTTATAAAATATTAAAATTTTAATGCTCTGTAAAAATAGAAGCACTATAACTTTTTTAACCAATCACACGACAATTAGCACTCCTCTGTCTACAATTATATAATTTGCATTTTAAAAAGTATAGAATCAATTGCGCTGCAAAACCCCATGATGACTATGAACAACTACCAACTCTGTGAATGAATAATATGCCCATGCCTCTTTGTCAATCATCTACTTAAAGCCAGCTTCGTCAGCAAATAACTTGCAATTCATGCCTCCAAAATTATAATTATAAAACACGCACACACACGTGTTTGTGTGTGTCTAATCCAACTTGCCAAGTTGGTTCTCAATTGAGAGAAAAAATGATCCCCTTGGGGACGAAGCAGAGGCAAGTTGAGATTCCTTCTCCACTGTTAATAGTGAGATTTTCAATTGTATTAATATACTCTACAGAAATCAAGTTGTCGATATAATACCGTTCAACCATGAGGTCGGCAACATTGTGCATCGCTTATGCAAGAGAGGAAAAAGACCTACCAACGGGCCAGTGGTTTAGTAATATCGGTCTCTTACTAACCAAACAACATATTTTTGTACTATACTTTTATGATTTCGAATTTATTATAAATTAAAAAATAATTATCAAAAAATTGAATCAAAGGGACACCCTATAGTGAAAATAAAAGAGAAGAAAGAAATTGATAGTTTGATCTTTATCCCTAAATATAGTGAGATTGTCAACTGCATTATTCAACTCTACATAAAACCAATTTGCCGATTTAATACTGGTTCAACTATTAGGTCGGCAATTGTGCATTGTTTATGTTAGAAAGGAAACAGACCGGTTATGCTTAAATAAGCAAGACGGAAAAGAATTGGAAAGAAAAAAAATAAAATAAAATATTGGTAGTTTGATGTTTATCATATGAATTATTATAAAAGTTTATCTCCTTCCACTCGGGACGGAGCCAATTAAGGTTCTAATGGGTCACGTTCTCCCCATTCCCTCTTGATATATACATATATTTATATGGTAATTTTAAATAGTGTTTCTCCTAAAAATTTTAAATTTTTCTAATTTCTTTTTGAAAAAGAAAAAAAAAAAAAATTACTTATATCCCCTTCTTCAAGTATATCATATATTTTTCCTTTTCTATTTTTTGTTTCATTTTTCAAAAAATTTATAATTATGTATTTTTCTATTTTTTTAACTTATTTCTTTTTATCGATCACATTTGTGATTGTATTTAATTAAAATATTATTAATCAATATTTTGATTCTTACATTTGTAAGTATATTTTTTTTACCGTATTTATTTAGCATATTATTTTACAGCTATTTTTTTTCTTCTTTGCCTTTTGATTTAAAAAAATTATACTTTGTATTTGTCATATTTATTGATTTTTTTTAACAATAAGTATATTGTGCCCCCTCTCAAATAACATCCCAACTCCGCCCCTGCTTCCACTTGTATCGTAGCAAAGTAGGAACACTGGCCAAATGTTAACATTTTCTCTCTTAAATTGGTTTAATATATATATCATATTCTTCCACTCTTTTTATTTTCTTTCAATCCAAACACATTCACCATGTTTCCCCTCCGATCATAATATATTGATATACATGTCCATATTTAGTCATATATGGTGCCTTGAAGTAGTGATCATTAGACTAACTTTACTCAGAAGCATCCAATGATAAAATTATTAAAACACTAAAGTTGCGCGATAATTTGCACACGCCACGCATATACAAAATATTCTCTATTAGATACCACGTCTGATCTCTAATGGAGTCTTATTTTATTCAAGTCCCACAGATCACCCAACTCAACCAACCAATTTAAATATTTGACCTGCCAAAACCAAAATTTAATAATTGACATTGATAGCACCATATATATTACTCCTTCTGTAGTATCCCGTTTGGATATCCAACCTTGAAATTCACATTTTTTATTTTAAGAGATTGAATTTTAATATTATTTTATTGTATTGTAGTAAATATATTTTCGAAATTACCATACTTAAAAGTTACTAGTGATGGGATCCACATGGACCACATGTTTATAATGACACTTAAACTTATTTTACTATTATAACGTAATAAAGGTAGTTTAGGAATATTACAAAAATAAATGCATTAATTTTTTAAATATAACAATTATTTTAAGACAACTAAAAATCAAAAGATAAACATATAATATTTACTAACATAATATATTACTTCTAGATCTAGTGAACGCCATTTAATTATTTTTTATCTTTTTGATTGACAACTAACCATGATTAAAACATATGTACGTAAAAGCCAAATTCAAAACACTGATTTGATCATCAGTACTTTCGTAACCCAAATGTCACATGTGTTTTTTTTATGCTTATTACTACTGCAAGAAGTTGAGGAAAAACGTTGATTAATTAAATTGCTCCATTAGTGGGGTTGATATATACGGTGATTTCATATGCAACTTATAATTAATTATTCTTTACAAGTAGGTGGCTTATTTGATGATTACCTCAATTACGTATCAACCGTTTATTTGCCAGTTTTTTGTCAATTTGTAATCAAAATAGCATTTAATAATAAAATTGAATTGTCATCTTTTTTTTGTCTTGTTCAACTAGTTGCTTTGTCATGTTGTGGAGTGTGGACCTGTGGTCAATTAGTAAAATACTTATTCTCTTCTCCAATGATTGGTTGGATAACCCCAAAAGTTCTTACTCTTTTCACAATGTTGAGGGATTGTTTTGTTTCTTCTACTGTTCCCAATTTCAATTATTTTTTCGCTTTCTCTCTATATTGGAGGATAACAAACGATCTTAGTGACATGACACCTGAAACAAAACCTCAAGCACAAGATACCTTATGGTAATGGCATCCTCACCAGGCTCTATTGCTGTTATATTATATGACCAGATGAATATATATATATATAACCTTTCCACACTTTGAATAAACAAACCAATGAAGAAAGACAAATTTTATTGTCTTGTATCAGTACTCCTACCAAATAAGTATTTAATTTGCACATATATTATATATGTATTTTTCTATTTTTTGTGTTGGATATTCTTGATATATATATATATATATATATATATATATATATATATATATATATCAAGAATATCCAACACAAAAAATATATATATATATATATATCAAGAATATCCAACACAAAAAATAGAAAAATACATATATAATATATGTGCAAATTAAATACTTATTTGGTAGGAGTACTGATACAAGACAATAAAATTTGTCTTTCTTCATTGGTTTGTTTATTCAAAGTGTGGAAAGGTTAAAAACACAGGTCAACATTGAGAAAATTTTGATCGTCAAAATATTCGGCGTATTGTAAAATTTCCCGGCCAACACGATTTGGGAGCATGATAAGATTTGAGTGTATTTGTGTTATAATTCAACCCAATTCATTTACTAACGAATAATGTTTACTTAAAAAATAATAATAATAACAACAAAACGCAGAGGTCACAATTTGGCCTAAAACGGAGCTGATTTACAGTGTTGAACGAGGCAAAACCTGAATTTTTCTGGCATAGATAAATGTACGATACAGGGATTTGCTGTTCTCTGAGCCTTTAATTTGGGAAAATTATAATTAAGTGATCTAAATATTCCAAACTTAAATAATTGTTGTACGGTCACCATATCACTATAAAAAATAAAAAATAAAAAATAAAAAATAAAAAGAAGAAAAAGAAAAAGAAAAAGTGATCAAATCACTATAGTACAGACACGGTAGAACTAATTATCTAGTTCGATCACTAAATTATAATTATAATTTTTGAGTTAATCACCGGTAACAGGTTCATAAATCAGAGCGTTAAGTTGTGGCATGAGTTTATCTTTCCAAATTTCTGTGCTGGGTCCAACCTCACTCTCTCGCCTTTTAATCTCTACCACGACCAGCTTCTCTGTTAACCGGTAAATTTCTACCATAGCAACAAAATGACCATTCTGCCCTTCCAACTTCACTCCCCAATCTTTCTTCTTCGTCACCGTCAACTCCTCCCTCTTACCAAACTGCTCCATTTTCTCGGTAATTCCGTCCGGCGACTCCTCCGATACGAACCTTTCACCTCTCAACGAAAAATCGGATTCACTGAATAAACCGGATAAATCGACACCGGACGAGAAGGAGATTATATCGAAAGCGTTCAGGAACTTCTCATCCTCGTCATGAATTTTGAATTCAAAATCGTCTGAGTGGAATTTGATCGGTTCGTATCCCTTTCTGAACCACGGATCCTCGGTCATCTGGTCCACGGTGATCCGAGTCTCGGGATTCGTGTCGAGAAGGCGGGAAATGAAGCGTTTCAAATCAGGAGACGTCCATTTCGGGCACCGGAATTCACCTTTGTAAATCTTTTTGTACATCACCATGAGGTTCCGATCGTTGAACGGTAGGTAACCGGCGTTCAACACGAAGAGAATGACGCCGCATGACCAGACGTCCACCTTCGCACCATCATAACCTTTCTTCGCGAGGATCTCCGGGGCCACGTAGGCCGGGGTGCCGCACAGCGTGTGGAGGAGTCCGTCAGGTCGGACCTGATCCGTCACCGCGCTGAGGCCGAAGTCGGTGACCTTCAAGTCCCAATTCTCGTCGAGGAGGAGGTTCTCCGGTTTCAGATCTCGGTGATAGACGCCGTGGGAGTGACAATATCCGACGGCGGAGATCAGTTGCTGGAAGTACCGACGGCTGAGATCTTCGCTGAACCGTCCTTTGGCGACCTTGGCGAAGAGCTCGCCACCTTTGGCGAATTCCATGACGAAGTAGATCTTGGTCTTGGTGGCGAGGACCTCAAAGAGGCGGACGATGTGAGGGTGGTGCAGCCGGCGCATGATTGAGATCTCTCTCTTAACGTGCGCCGTGAACCCTCCTTTGAGGATATTCTTCTTGCTCACTGCCTTGATCGCGACGCTCTGTCCCGTCCGTACGTTCCTCGCATGGTACACCTTAGCGAATGCTCCGTATCCGAGCAATTTTCCGAGCTCGTACTTCTGGAACAGCAGGATCTCCGGAGTAGACTCGCCGGCCGCCGGCAACACATTGCTGAATTCACCTTCGATCTCCGACATCACCCGGTCTAGAGATCGTACCCTTGTCCTTGGTAGCAAATAAAAAATACTTCGCTTGGCATCAAATTATGGAGCGAATACGAATCGCTCAAAATAAGAAAAACGCGATGTTGACCTGAATACTTGGAATTTGTCAGAGTTGGAGAAAATTATTGGAAAAACAGAATCTGATACTTCAAAAGCTATGGAGTTTTTCAATCTTTAACTTTACCAGGATGTACAGCAGCCAGACGTTGTGATTAACGAGAGCATGTGATGCTTGCAAGAGGGGAGAGAGATAGAGGGTCTATTTTTAGAGAGAGAGAGAAATGAGGTCGAGAAAGTGATAGGAGGGGACGATGTCTTAAAAGGGCTTTTAACGTGTGTTCGTTTATGGGATTATTTTAAGTTCTCTTATTTAGTGATAGGAGGGGACGATGTCTTAAAAGGGCTTTTAACGTGTGTTCGTTTATGGGATTATTTTAAGTTCTCTTATTTTCTTTTCGTTTTCTTTCTTTTGTTTTTATCCCGTAAATCTAGCATAATATGTACTCTTTTTTTTTTTTTTTTGGGTTAACTTCAGTTACATTTCTTGAGGTATGTTCAAACTTCAAAGAGATCCCCTCACGTTTGCAAAAATTCAGTCAGACCCCTTACTTTTTTTGACACACATCATTCTTCTCTCTTTGTCAACGGTCAAAACTGGTCCGAGACACTTTTTTCCGACATCAGCAAAAAAATAAATTTTAATACCTAAATTGCCCCTCAACGGTTATGTTTGGCTGCATACTATCCATCTAACCAAACACTCCCCTCAAATCTCTCTCTCTTTCTCGCTCTGCAAACCCATTTCTCTCTCTAAACTTTGTCTCTCTCCAAACCCATTTTCTTGGTCTAAGATTCTCTCCAATGGCTAAGGTGGCTCGACCGGTTTTCTGCGAGCTTGCGTCTCAAAAACCAGCGGTTCCTGTTTCGGTTCAGAGGGTGAGGACCTTCGATGTGTCGTCGGCGTCATCAACGGGGACGGATAAGGTGACAATTGTGCTACAGCCTCGTCTATGCACGCTCAGGTGGGGGTGATGATGAAGCCACGAAGGAACGGTGGTGATGGTGTTGATGATGAGGGAGGTGATTGGTGTCGTCGTCGCCGTTCTTTACGACTCTGTCGGAGTACATAGAGAGCTTCAGGAAGAGTCAAGACTTTGAGATCATCTCCGGTCGTCTTGCTATGGTATGTTCTTCATTAATTGTTTTTTTTTTGACTCATAGTTGCTTCAATTGGAGTAGACTGTAGACCTATCAATATTTGGATTTTGACTAATAAATTTTCTAATCCAATAAATCGGTGACATGGATTGAATAAATCAATGAGGAACTGTAAGGATGTTGCGATTGCGACAGTGATAAGGTTGGTGAGGAACGGCGGTGATCTGGAACCGGTGAAGAGGCTGACGACCAAGTCACTGAAATGACGGGCTACTGCCCAACGAGCACAATAGATGACGGCGGTAAAGTGGCGGCAGCAGCAGATTGAAACAACAATGTCTATCTATCCTAGATTTGTTTCTTGATTTTGAATTATACACTATGGAAAAAATAGGTGACTGAACAGTCCATCTCACCCTACGTAATGGGGCAAAGCTGTTACGTGTTGCTTTGAAAATGAAATCTTCCCTTAATGACGATGATATTGATCGTGTATGCGAATGGATTCACAATACTACAGTGATTTGTAAGGCAGAAGAGCTCGATCTATCATTTGGAATGTCAATGTCAACTGGATGGTCTGAAGAAGCAGGATGCTTTCCTCTACCACTATCCACCTTTGTAAGAGCAATTAAATTGAGACTTTATGACACAATTCTCGAACTATCCTCCAGTACCGGCAATAGCTTCAGTTCGCTCCAGGATTTGGACATAAAAGACTTAAGGCTTGATCCTCTCAACTCATCTGAGGATTGGGTTTCATCTCTCTTCCTTGCAATAAAAAAGTTAAACCTGCAAAAGGTTAAAGGGATAAACTATCTCAATATCACAAGCCTGTCTCTTGAATGGTTAAGCATAAATCCATGTGGCAAAAGAATAAACTATCTCAATATCACAATCCCTGGGTTTTCCGGCGAGCCATGCAAACCCAGTTTTGTGTAACCTAAACTTTGCTACTGAGATATGAGGGATAGGGAGATTGACTATTTGGTTCAAGAGATAAAGCTAACCGAGAGTTATAAAATATGTTTGGTTCAAGAGATTGATTGTTTAGTCAAGTATATATAGGAAAACGACAAAAGGATAATTTAGTTATTTCATTCATTTATTTGTTTTTGTCAGCTGACAATGTCTGACAGGGGGTCTGACTGAATTTTTGCAAACGTGGGGGGTCTCCTTGAAGTTTGGACATACCTCAGGGGGTGTAACTGAAGTTAACGTTATTTTTTTTAGGATTAATTGCGCACTAACACTTCGTGAAAAACAACTTTTGGGTTTCAAAATCTTGCATCCACACCCTTCATGCTTATAAAAAGACCTAAATATCCTTTGACTAGTCAATAATTACTTTTGATCATGAAATGACTTGAATGCCCTTTTCTAACTAATTTTAATGGACCAAATTGAGCCATTATTTACCACTCCATGCCATCATCCATCATCAGTATCAAGCTTAATTAGTATTGCCTCCCACTGTCATAGGTCCTAATTTTGAGTCCCCCTTGATTTGGACTCACGTGAATATCGCCCGATAGAGGAGTAGGTTTCCCAACGATCGGGGGGGCTTAAGAGCAACGACTAGTGGGGCTGATGTTGCAGTGGTGGTAGTTGTGGGGTTGATTTCACAGTGACGATTGGAGAGAGAAATGGGCGGCTGGTGGTTGGTAGGGGCGATGGTGGTAGTTGTGGGGTTAATGTTGTGGTGGTTGTAACGACCCAAACCAGGGGGTCCGAATCGCTAATAGGGTCCTAATCTGATCCAAAAAATCTAAAGGTAAAATGATCATTTTGACCAATACAATGTATTAAAAGACTAAATGAAGTCTCAATGATCATTTCTAATAATTTCGGTAGAAATATAGATGAATACACCAACTTTGCTTTCAAATCGGCCCTTGTAGGGATTTTAAGGCTAAAATGATCATTTTACGCCTTAAGTTCATAATTAGACGCAGTTCTTTCATTCCAAACACTTTGGAGGTCAAATAGGACCCACACGCTAAAAATTCTGGCCATCGAAAAAGATCGGGGAAAAACAGTGCCTAAAAGCCCTTAGCCGAGCACTTGGCGTTAGCCTCCGAACGCTCACAAGGCACCCCAACGCACACCCCGAGAGCTCAGTGGACACACCTGGAAGCTCGGAAGATACCCACGGGCACCCCAGCATTCACGCAGTTCCGCTACTAGAATTCTTAGCCCAGTTGTAATACCCCTAATTTCAAAAGGATAGTCTTGGTATTTAATTTATGTTTTAATGGACTTTTTAATTATTTGACTTACTTGACTTATTTGTATTATTTGAATTAATTATTTAGTTTACTTGTTTTCTTTGATTTAATTAATTATTTTTCTTGAAATTGATTTAAGTGTTAAATGATTTAATTTAGTATAAATGGATTTTCTATAAATAGAGTTTTATGTTAGTAGGATTAATTAGGGGTTTTGGTTTTAGAAGTCACGTATGTCGCTGACATAATTAAGCATTAATTAGGTTTCATATGGGGCGACTAAGGATTTAGTTTAGGGTTTAAATTAAACTAGGGTTTTGTGTAAACTTATAAACCTATAAATGTATCTGTATAAGGCTGTCAAGGGTTTAGAACCCTAACCATGTTGTGGAGACAGAAGAAACAGAGTGGAGGAAAACCAAAGGGGCGCCGGGAAAATTTAGAAGGAAGACGTTGAGATTTCTGAACCGAGTCTCACAGGCAAGTTTTATTACTAACTCTATCTCTTTGGCCTGTGTTCTTTGCATCTCTAATTCAGTTCCAGGAAGAAATAAAGCTAAATTAATTTGGTTGTAATTATTGGTTTCAAACAGTATGGGTTCTTGTATGTATTTTCCGTTCGTGATGAAACTGTTTGTGCTTGTTCTTGTTTTAATTGAATTTGATTAACAAGTAATGAACTTAAATAACTTTAGAGCACTTTGGGACTTAGTTTTAATCCATAGGAAACTTGGGTTGGAGGAACAAAGTTGCCGGAGTTGGAGAAGAAGTTGAACAGCATGTTTTCTTTTAGGTACAGGTTAAGTGTTTTTAAATTGTTTTGTTTAATTCTTGTTCCCACTGAATGTGATTATTAATCAAGGAAGTTAATTAACTTTCGAACACCCAAGGACTTAATTTTAATCAGCAAGAAATTTGGGTTGGAGGATCAACATAGCCAGACACCGCCGGAATTGGAAAAACGACGCACAGGGGAAGGAGTCTGCTCTATTTCAAGTAGAGCAAGCTCAATTAAAAAGTGGAGCAGGCTCTACTTTGTAGTAGAGCCAGCTCTACTTGGTAGTGGAGGCGGCTCCACTTTGGGTGGAGCCGGCTCCTTTATGCAATTTTTATTTTTTTTTCGGTTTCAGGCAGTTTTAGTCGCAGTGGTAGGTTCTCTGTGGTTCCAGTTGGGTTTAGGGCTGTGTGTGAGGTGTATGGATGGTACTTGGAGAAAATTCTAAGACTTTAGGAGGCATGTTAATAACCTAACTATGGTTGTCACCTGAACAGTATATGTTTTAAACAATTTAAAACACTATAGTTGGAGTCGGAAGAGTTAGATTGGTTTAATCCTTTATGTTTTGTATTCTTCAGAGACAAATAATATAATTAATACATGTGTCACCATATAACATGATCAGGTGTCTGAATTATATTGGTTTTGGATGCATTGGAGTTGAGTGATATTAAGATTTAAACACACTTAGCACTCTACTGAGTCTGTGAAATATTAGAGATTAAGCATGCCTATGTATATGCTGAAGTTTTGTTTTGATGCTTTCATTAGTACTGCTAGTATCAATTTTTGGAGCATGGACCTTGTTGATATTTACCCCAAATGTCTGTGATATCAACTACTGGATGTGGAATACTATTAATATTTAAACTTAGTATTATATCGGATTTTGTGTAACAGTATGTACTGACTATGTTTACTCTACTTATTGATGCTCACATCACTACTGTTGTTATTAATTATTGGATGTATGGAATTAGTTGATATTCGCTTCAGTTGCCGATATTATCAACTGCTGGATGGTTGGATAGTATACACCGGTATGGGACGGTGGTATACTAGGGACGGTTTGGTTTCAAAATACCAAAACCTACCTATTCTGGATTAACGAATGGATTAACTAAAAGTTAAATCCTATGGATTTGTAGTGTCATGGCAACAACTAGTTGAGCGGCACTACTATGGATTTTGAATGGATTTTAAATATATTACTAT